AGAACCGTACCATAAATACAAATATAAATATAAGTAAAAAGTTATCATCACAAAGTTGTATTAATAACAAATGAGCAAACTATATGTCTAATAACATAGTACCCATACTCAAAACATTCACATTACATTTGAGATTCAAAATAAACGTAAAAGTCATTTAGTATTATATTGCATACAAGTAAACTATAAGAAGCATCACCGTATCTCATTTTTTTCATTAGGAGTAGAATTAGAATGTTTACTGGAAGACACAAAACAACAAGAATGTTTACTATGTCTTTCAACAAAAGAATTACAATATCCTGAATTGATTATATCTAACAGCAGTAGCTATGCTTAAATTGTTCATGTATCACATCCAAAGTAATAGTTAATTGTCACTCTTGAGCAATGTATAATGAATAAACACCAGAATTCTAAAAGAAAATATAGATATAAGTCCGTAACTACATACCTTATGCATAGTATCACATTAAAGAATAGAAACAAACTAGAACATTTTATACATCTGCATATTCAAATGGCAATTCTAACCACTAGTGATTTAGATCTTACCTCCATATTTAGCATAAAGATCTGAATGTTGAACATGTCTCCCATTTAGGAAGTCCAATGTCTATGTCTTTAACCTGTTCAAAATTTATATTAAACTGTTAAATCATGTTACTATCAAAGTACTTTTAGGGAATATTTAACCAAACATCAAACAAACTGATTTTGTCTAGCCATCTAAGCCCTAGAAATTATAGATGACTTTATATCAACCATTTAAGATAACCATACAATTCATTCCTTACATCATTCCTCATCTCTATCGCATCTCACTTCTTTGTTACTTGGCTCACACCATATCTCTCATTTCATATAATCTCTTGGCAGCATAGATTTTTCATAGAACAAAATATGTAATAGATTTTGTTTTTATAGTTGGGGAAGAATCTGGTTTGATACACTTATTCGTAACAATATTCGTAACAATTTCCTCAACCCTATATAATCTTGCTTCTTTGCTCTTGACAAGTTTCACACCATATGCCTCATTTCATATAATCTCGGCAGCATAGTTTATCTATAGCATTTAATAAGTAGAAAATGGATTTTACCCAGGAAAGAATCTGCTCGGCTTCTAAAACAAGTTCGGATCAGATGAATTATCACACTAATGTGTAGAACTTATTTTTAACAACCTCTTTTATCCCCTAATCCAATAAACTTAGATTTTATTTTTAAATATACTCCGTATGAAAGTCTACGGCTTTCTCAAAAATATATTATGGTAGAAAACTTATAAAAAAAGTACTAATTAAAAATTTCACACTATCTAACTTTAAAGCAAATTGACATACCCAAAAAACAAAAACATGTACAAAATAGAACCGTAAGTGCACTTTTAATACTTCGTATCTAATATGTGTGTGCATCTATGTGTATAGCAAAGAAATGTTTGGGGCACACACAGAGGGTCAAAACTATCTAGATAAAATCCTCATGGATAAAAAAAGGTTAGAGAATCCCTTCTTTTTACCCCATTGTGGAACACTGATGCCATTTCCGATCCCCATATCCACTGTTTCTCCATCCTTAGAATGACTTCCATCCAAGTATCCAACTGCTACTTACAAAAAATGCAAGCAGAACTAAAAATTAAATATTTAAGTTCATTGTAGTCGTCAATTAAGATAAAAGAAAAAAAGTTGTCAAAGAACAATCAACCTCAATTAGCCGGCCACTGTAGTCCTCAATTAAGTTCATTTACTCTGTACAATTCAACCCTTCCAGTATAATTTGTGTGGAAAATTAAACAAATTAAAACTATTTTGGTGAATTTTTTTGGTGCTTCGTTAATATACCTAGATGTGGTGGAAGATGGGTGACTCGCTATGGAAGATGGAGCAGCTGTGGGTGATGGAACTCTGACGGCTAAGGACGTCAGTGCGAGTGGTGTGATGGAACACCATGGAAGAGCAGCGATAGTAAGGCGGCGATGTTGGAACAGCGATGGCGGAGCGGGGATGTTGGAGCAGCGATGTTGGAGCAACGATGTTGGAGCGCCGATGTTGGAGCGCCGATGTTAGAGCAGAGATGTTGGAGCGCCGATGTTAGAGCAGAGATGTTGGAGCGCCGATGTTAGAGCAGAGATGTTGGAGCGCCGAGTTGGAGCAGCGGCGGCGGCCATTAGTGTCTTCGTCCGACTAGGGTTGATTTCTGGTATACAGCATCTGCTCTCAAGTGAAGTTCCAGACAAATTAATAAACTTCGGAATTACTAGGGCTTAAGATCTTTCTACAAGGGTTCAAAATGAACGGACATAGTAGAATATTTTAAAGAATCACAAAAAAGACCCCGAATGTTACTTGACTTTTAGAAAATTGTAAACCTAACCGCGTTTTCATTTTCTATGTCGGTCTTTCTTAAGACCGTTATAGAATAATTTGTTAACTTTTAACTCTTACCCGCAAAAGTGACATGAACTTTTCGTTATTTATGAATCAGACCCCGTACCTTTATACTATAACGGTTCCTATAGGAGTATATTTTAACAAGTTAAAATGCGAATAACAAAGGGGTGTATTTGACATAAAATTGAAGTCAATCAAGAAATTGAACAAAAACGCTACAATTAGTAATATTCTGGATCAATTGATTAATTTAGGATACAATTAAATTTGACTCTTCATACAAACAAGGTTAGATGTGATGATGTGAACGAATTTTCTAACTTATCAAATTTCAACTGATTTTGAAATGAAATAATTATGCAAATATAGCTTTGATATAGGGAAAGTCCCGAAATATGACTAAAACAGTTTGAAAATTTTAAAATAGGACTGACATGTTTTTTATTCTCAAAATAGGAGTAATTACAGTAAGGTTTGGAAAATACCGTCATGTTTGAAGTCTGGTACTTCCAAAACATGACAATAATTAGTCCTATTTTGGGAATAAAAACATGGCAGACCTATTTTGGAATTTTCAAACTTTTTTAGTCATATTTCGGGTAATATTCTCTTTGATATACAATAGTATATCTTTAGAAACCAAGCATTACAACTCAGCTGATGGTGAGGTTACCGTGCATAGTGGGAGGTCTCGAGTTCGAAACCCGGTAGGCACATAAGGGTTCGATACTCAATGGAGTGAGTTTCAGCCTTCATTACTCCAGGCCCCCGGACCCCCTCCCCCCCCCCCCCCCCCCCCGGAGTAAAAAAAAAATAATAGTACTCCCTCCGCCCTCCAACTAAGTTCTTTGTTGCTTTTCACATTTATTAAGGATTTTTTTTTACCGGGGGTAAATTTTACTGTTTTGATATTGTTTGGACACTGTTTTGCACTGTTAGACACTATTTTGATGTAGTTAATTTGTCAAATAAGGAAAGGGGAACTTGATTCAGGAAATACCCAACAAGGAAAGGGTGACTTAATTGGGTGACGAAGGAGTATATCTTTAGAACTCGATACATATCTTTCCTGGCCTGATAGCCTATCGTATGTTTTATTTTCTATAGCAAGATTGTATACTAGGAGCCCGTTTGGTAGCACAAAAATCGGCTGTTTTGGCTGTTTCTGCTGAAATTTATGAAGTTCTGGCTGGAGTGGCTGTTTTGGCTGATTCTGCTGATTCTAGAAAAAAATATTTTAAAAATATATTTTATTAATAAAATAAAGAAAAAATTACATGTAAAAATAGCTAAAATGGTCATCTACAGTAACTTCAGCCAATACAGCCAGAAAAGTAACTCCAACCTTACTTTTTTTGCTTATTACACAATTAAGCACGCGAAAGTAAAAATTACGTGTTTGGTGAAAAAGCCGGCTGATAAGCCTGATAAGCCGAAAAAAGGGATCTCCAAACGGGCTCTAGATCTTGTAAGTTTTTATTTTACGGCTACAGGTAGAGGTGGATCCTATGTAATTCAAAGGTAGTTTTCGGTTGAACAAAAAAAAAATGAAAATAATGCATTACGAAAATGCCGTTTAGCAAACTGCATAAGCCAGTTACTTATATGAAGCATGAATATTTCATTAGGGTATCGTATCGACGTATCGGAAATATTCTCATATCAGAATAGGATACTTGTGCAATGCGTTTCTGGGTCGTATCAGATAATTATATTAAAAATTTGGATACTCGTATCCTGACGAATACATGTATCAACTTTTTAAAAAATAAAACACCCAAATAATGACTTGTTTTAATCCTGCACTCAAGTAAGTATATCGACGACGAGTAAAACATGGGATGTTGGTGGATATGACTTTGGGAGCATAGAGGATGTAAGAGTTTTTTAGTTCGCCAATCTTTTCATAGATTAACTAGAGTTGGAGGTTGTCTTTTTGGGAGACGATGTTATCCCTGGAAATTACTAGCGCCAGTGAAAATCGAAGTATGTATTAGAATTTTTCGTTTTCTTATTAGAGTATTGTTTTTTTATCTCCATTATCCAAGAACTTTGAGTGCTTGTACTTTTAATTTCAAAGTTGTGCTTGTTTGTCTCATTTCTCATTTTACATTAATGACTTATTAACCATATTTATACTTCAAGATATACTAATGTATATATGAGATAAAAAATGAATTTATTTCTAACTATCTTGATAATGTGAAATGCTTTAATGTCATGAGCGGAAAAAGGTCATAGAATAATAGATCTATATATTTTCAAAAAAAATCTTACCACCTCCGTCCCAAATTGATTTGCAAATTTGACTCTTTTGGTCAAACAGTTTCATTTTATTCGCTTAATTAGGATGTCAATTTTTAATTATATTTTTAATTCGGAGTTTACATCTGTGAAGAGATGTTAATGTAGTTTCTGAATATATAAATTTTAATTATTTAAAATTGAATTAAATTCGATAGGGAGCATTGACTTTTATTATTGATTGACCAAATAATGTTGATTTTCTAAACAATTTGGGAGGGAAGGAGTATAATATTTAATATTTATAAATACACTCCCATAGTCCCATAATATTTAAAACTTACATAATAAATTCAAGAAATCCATAAAAATCAAAAGAGCTAGACCACGCAACAAGCACTAAAGTTCGATGAATCCAAAATAACGGCCGGTCTTCATTCCTCAACTCTCAACTACAGTGCGTATTGGTTTTGGTAAAAGACGGTCCAAAATGGTCGTAGTAACAAAGATCCTCTTCTATGAATCCACAGATACGGAAAGGAATTGGGCAAGTAAAAAGACGAATGAAGGAATGCATAGTAGAAACGATATATGAAGTGACGGAACGCGGTTTGGCCGGGTACGTCTCAAGAATGCGATGGATTATTGATAACATAGGGATGTTTGGAAGTGATTCTACTTGTGATTCTTTTTTAAAGTAGAAACAGAATCAGAATCAGTTTTCAGAAGCTGGTAATCCTCAACTTCTAAAAAAACTGATTATGGGAGTAAATTAAAGCACCAGAAGTGCTTCTGGAATTTCATCCAAACACTCCAGCTTCTGTTTCTGCTCCTTGAAGGAGCAGAATCAGTTTTGAGAATTAGATCCAAACACCCCATAAATTGATAGGATGGATGATGGAACCTTAGCTTTTCTTCTGTTGTTTTATAATTATTCTCGCACATCAACTAGCTCTTTCTCTTCTTTGTATGTGGCCATGTGAGTACGGAGACATAGACACACTTTGATGGGTTCCATCTAGACCTACCTCCGGTTTGAATCGGGACTGGAACAGAACCGCCAGTTCACGGTTCCAAATTTCAGAGATTGAACCAAAATCATACGGTATCGGTTCTAAAAACAATGGTTCTGGTTTAATTGTGGTTCGGTTTCGGTTCAGTTTCTTGGTTCCAAATTATTTGGGGTTTGTGTGCAAATGAGAAACAAATAACATAGTCACAAATTTATTACTTTAAAAACAAAATGACAATGTTTTTTGGACAAATAAAAAAGAAAAGATGGTAAAGTCTAGTGAGACAGAGAGACTATTTTTATATTAAAATTTAATTAAGTTTTTAAAAATAGAGTTGGTAATAAGCTATAAGATTATTGGATAATAAATAATTGTTATTTATATAACTAAGTGGAATAATTAGATACTCCGTAGTTGATAACAGAATAGTTTTTTAATACCCTAGTAAATAACTAAGTAGTAAAAAATTTGATTGTATAAATTTAGAAGTTGGCAATTTTAAAGTTAGTTTAGTAATTTGTCAATTATACACTCTTATAACTATAATTTGTATTACTAAAGTGTTATAACTAGCAATGACTAAAAGTTACTCCATTCTTACCATACAATTCTTCTCACTTATCATTTTGAGATGTCTCTAAAAATTCTTTTCATTTCTCATTTTGGAAAGTTTTGTGGTGCTAACATTCATTTACTTTTTTCTTACTCAACCATAACCATACATTTATACTTTATTCTCACTTTCCTAAACTCTGATTCAAGTCACACCGGGAAGAATTTTAACGGATGGAGAGACTGCTAACTAATACTCCGCGCGTAATCATTATTTGTTACGATGAATAGAATATCATGATCACTTAAAGTGCAAAAAATGACCATAAATTATAATGACTAAAATTAGTATTATTGTCACTATTGAGAGAGTCTTTTTTATATTTAGATATAAGCATATAAATGTTTCTTTTATCTATCCTATTAAGTTAACTTTTTAAATGAAAATACAAATATTTAGGGAGTACTATGTACTATCGTACATGTTATCGAGTCATCTTCAATCTATTACGGAGTATGTATATTGGAGATATTTTTGGGAGATATTTTTGGGATTAAATATTTTATTTTAGCTAGAATATTATCTCATTATGACTTACTTTATTTAGCCTATTTTTTAGATGACCGATCCAAATTGATCGGCATCAATCATGTATTTAATCAGCCGATTGGCTCTTGTTGATACACAAAAAAACATCCTTCTCTATACCTTCTTTTATTCCATACGTATGAACTCAATACTCTTTTAATATGGTATCAGAGCCTCGTATTGGCAACTAGATTTCCGCAGCCATGCCGACGGCCGAAGAAGGATCAACGGCGGCAACAAAGATTGACTACACATCCCCATATTTTCTGGGTCCTCAAGATAGGCCGGGTGATTTTATCACTCCGGTTCGTCTGACGAATACCAACTACGAAGAATGGGCCAATGCGGTGCGACTGGCACTCCGAGCAAGGCGTAAATATATCTTTGTTGACGGAACGTTAAAAAAACCGACACCTCCTAGCACCGAGGAGGAATGGTTGGTTAATCACTCATGATCGTCTCTTGGTTGTTGAATGTGATATCTCCGGAAGTCAAGGGGACTTTGTCACATTATGATGATGCCCTGCGACTATGGACTGACTTGAAAGAGAGGTTTGGGTCCGTTGATGGCCCGAAAATACACCAAGTGAAAACAGATTTGGCACGGTGTTCTCCAACGAGAGGGATGTCGGTCGGTACCTATTACGCAAAGTTGCAAACTTTGTGGGACGAATTGAACAACTATGAGCCTTTGATTCGGTGTAAGTGCAACGGGTGCACTTGTGATGTACTCGGTCAGCATGAAAAGAGGAGGGAGTCGGAACGCCTCCATCAATTTTTGATGGGAATCTATACGGAATTTTTTGGAGGTGTATGATCTCAATTGTTAACACAAACTGATCTGCCAACTCTCAACCGGGCTTACCAACAGATGACTCAAGAAGAACGAGTTAGAGGGATTGTGCAGGCACAGGAAGAACGGCCTGAAGTTCTGGGTTTTGCGGTTCGAGCTGAAAACAAGGGTGCAGGCCGAGGGATGAAGGTGGATAAAACCGGATTAACTTGCACATATTGTAAGTATTCGGGACATGAGGTAACCAATTGCTTTGAACTTAATGGCTATCCGGATTGGTGGGGAGATAGGCCTCGCTTGGGAATAAAAAACGGGGGGCGTGGTCGTTCTACTCCTACTGGAGCGGCTGGAGCAGGACGAGGGAGAGCAACTGCAAAAGCCCATGCTGCTGTCACTGAAACTGTGCCTAAACCGAGCCCAAAACAGGCTGAAGGAAGTAGCGGGCAGACTACTCCACTCCCGGGATTCACGGCCGAACAATGGAACTCGCTTCTCTCCGTGATTGGTAACTCCTTTTCTACTAACGAACGGATGGCCGGTAAGTTTAATGATAATGCCTGGATTATTGATACTGGTGCTACCAATCATGTGTGTGGAAATCAAACTTTATTATTCCATATTAAAAATGTTGAACCATGCACTGTTGGTCTGCCAGACGGACAAACTGTTTTAGCCACATTGGAGGGAAGTGTGCGTTTTACGGATGATTTATACTTAAATAATGTGCTATTTGTTCCGAAATTGAAGTGTAATCTTATCTCGGTATCTCAATTGAGCGATAAATTGAATTGTTTCGTCCAATTCACAAGTAATTTGTGCGTTATACAGGACCGTCCCTCGAGGAGGCTGATTGGAACGGGTGAACGGGTGAATGGACTGTACTACCTGCAGGAGGGAATAACAGCACATGTGTTGACAGTTACAGATTCGAAGAATAAAGTGGCGGAATTATGGCATCAACGAATGGGACATCCTGCTTCTCATATTGTTGAAAAATTGGCTCCCGTAAGTGGATTGAAAATTTTGGAAATTTTCCCTGTGATATTTGTTTTAGAGCTAAGCAGACAAGAGACCCATTTCCTTCTAGTTTAAATAAAACTCATGACATTTTTGAGATGATACATTGTGATTTGTGGGGTCCATATAATACCCCTTCTTCTTGTGGAGCTAGATATTTTTTGACAATTGTTGATGATTATTCACGTGCTGTGTGGGTTTATCTGCTTGTTGATAAGAGGGAAGTTCTTAAAATGTTTCTCTCATTCACTGCCATGGTAGACCGCCAATTTTCTAAGAAAATAATGCGCGTACGAAGTGATAATGGGACAGAGTTTAATTGTTTGCATGATTTTTTCCGTACTAGTGGCATTATATTTCAAACCTCCTGTGTTGGGACCCCTCAACAAAATGGGCGTGTAGAACGCAAGCACCGCCACATTTTAAATGTTGCTCGTGCTTTGAGATTTCAGGGAAGTTTGCCTATTTCTTTTTGGGGAGAATGCATATTAACTGCCTCTTATCTAATCAATCGGACACCATCTGCTATTCATGAGTATAAAACACCATACGAGATATTATTTGTAGAGCTTCCGTGTTATAAATCTTTACGTGTCTTTGGATGTTTATGCTATGCTTTTAATATGAAATCGAAGGGAGACAAATTTGCAAGTCGTAGCAGAAAGTGTGTCTTTGTGGGGTATGTCTTTGGGAAGAAAGGTTGGAATGTTTTTGATCTCGAGACTCGGGAATATTTCGTGTCTCGAGATGTTAAATTTTTTGAACAAACTTTCCCATTTGCTCCTACTCCATCTCTTCCGGATAATCCACTTAATGAATCCTTGCCTACTGTTTTGCCTACGGATTATGATGATCCCCTCTTCCATGGCTCATCTGATGAAACTCATATCCGAGCTCAGGACGATTCCACGGCTCATGCGACAACCCAGAATGACTCAGCCGAGTTGCTTACTGAGTCGGGTCATACAAATACATTGGCGGATGCGCATCATTCTTCTCACGAGGGGTCAGATTGTGTTTTGGGCCGAGGACAACGTACTCGTATTCCTTCAGTCCGTCTCAAAGACTTTGTTACACACACCATCATTAAAAACAGTCCATTCCCCGCTCCCTCTGCTCCGTCATCCTCTTCAGGTACGCCGTTTCCTATAACTCATTATGATACTTGTGACTCTTTTTCTTCCAAACATAAGGCTTACCTGGCAGCACTTAATTCGGTCATGGAGCCCAATTCTTTTCATGAGGCCGTGAAGCATGAAGGATGGCGTGACGCCATGCGGGCTGTAATACAGGCCCTTGAACACAATTCCACTTGGAGTCTGGTGCCATTACCTCCGGGTAAACGTGCTTTGGGATGTCGATGGGTTTATAAAGTCAAGCATAAATCTGATGGAACTATTGAGCGTCTCAAAGCACGTCTTGTTATTTTTGGGAACCGACAGGTTGCAGGTCTGGATTATACTGAGACTTTTGCTCCCGTGGCTAAAATGGTCACTGTCCGAGCATTTCTTGCTGTTGCAGCTATTAAACACTGGGAGTTACATCAAATGGATGTACACAATGCCTTTTTACATGGCGATTTACATGAGGAAGTCTACATGACTATTCCTCCAGGTTATAAAACCACTGATACTGCTTTGGTCTGTCGGCTCCATAAATCTTTATATGGACTTAAGCAAGCTCCGCGATGTTGGTTCGCAAAATTGGTGGCAGCTCTCAAGTCATATGGATTTCTTCAGTCATATGCTGATTATTCATTATTTACCTTTTCACGCGGAGCTACGCAGCTTAATGTCCTAGTTTACGTGGATGATTTACTTATATCTGGTAATGATAGTGCTGCTATTTCTGGATTTAAATCTTATCTCAATACCTGTTTTCATATGAAAGATTTGGGCACTCTCAAATATTTTCTGGGAATTGAAGTTGCACGCAGCTCTACTGGTATCTTTCTTAACCAGCGTAAATATGCCCTGGATATTATTAGTGAGACGGGTCTTTTGGGTGCGAAGCCTGTCTCATTTCCTATTGAACAAAATCACACTCTTGGTGCTGCTAATGGTCCCGCTCTTCACGATCCAGAACCATACCGCAGGCTTGTCGGGCGACTAATTTATCTAGCTGTTACTCGACCCGACATCACTTATTCAGTACATATTCTCTCTCAGTTTATGCAAAAACCGCTTACTGAGCACTGGGCTGCTGCCCTGCGTGTAGTTCGGTATCTCAAAGGCTCTCCTGGACAGGGCATTCTTTTGCGCGTTGATAGTGACTTAACTCTTTCAGGCTGGTGTGATTCAGATTGGGCGGCATGTCCTATTACCAGACGATCCCTTTCAGGCTGGTTGGTTTTTCTGGGTCATTCTCCTATTTCCTGGAAAGCCAAGAAACAGACCACGGTTGCTCGATCTTCTGCTGAAGCTGAATACCGCTCTATGGCCGCAGCAACTTGTGAATTAAAATGGCTAAAAGCTCTTCTGCTTAGTCTCGAGATTCACCATCCTCAGGCTATACCGCTATATTGTGACAGTCAGTCTGCACTTCACATTGCTCAAAATCCCGTCTTCCATGAACGCACCAAACATATTGAGGTTGACTGTCACTTTGTTCGTGATGCTATTCAGGCTAATCTTATTGCTCCTAATTATGTTCCCACTACCATTCAGTTAGCTGATATTTTTACCAAGGCTCTTGGAAAGACACAATTTCAAACTCTTCTGAGCAAGTAGGGCATTTTGGACCCCCATGCGCCAACTTGAGGGGGGTATTGGAGATATTTTTGGGAGATATTTTTGGGATTAAATATTTTATTTTAGCTAGAATATTATCTCATTATGACTTACTTTATTTAGCCTATTTTTTAGATGACCGATCCAAATTGATCGGCATCACTCATGTATTTAATCAGCCGATTGGCTCTTGTTGATACACAGAAAAACATCCTTCTCTATACCTTCTTTTATTCCATACGTATGAACTCAATACTCTTTTAATAATGTATTACTTTAAAATTTTGTCATATTTTGTTTTTGGGATGTTCTAACGTTGATTCCCTTCCATTTTAACTAATTAACTTGATGTTTCTATTAAATTTCTATCATATAATTTTTACTTTATTACTTATGTGCACGTCAAATTTCTCAATCCGAACGGACAGTGGTGGACTCAGAAGTTTTCCGAAGCGGGGGCACTCCCACATAGATGAAAATGGGTTGGGTCGAATTGAGTGTATCATTGGTCTTTTTTGTCAAATACATTCAAATTAATATTTTTAACTGGAAATAGATTACTCAATGACGACGTCAAGCAATGAACATATGTGGATTATAAGTCTAACTGTGAACTCATTAAGACAATTCTAAACAATAATATTTGACTTTTTGAAAGAAAGACATAATTTTGTGGATTAGAAATTACTCATCTTGGCGCCGTTTTCTGTTTTTACATTAGAATTTTAGCTATGTTTCTTACTATAAAATGATCAAGATTTCATTTTTGAAGTAAGATCATGTCGTTGTTATACATTGTGCCACAAAAATTGTTGGTACTTATCTGAAATATAATTCTACGTACTATCGTGTTAAAAATGAAGTATAAGTCAAGTTTAATTAGGATTTCATCATTTAATACAACTTTATTTAATAATATGATTCTATAAATCTACCTTTTATGAGTATCGTATTATAGAAAAAATTTAAAGAGTCTGTCGGTTTGAAACTAATTTATCGTGAATTGACACATTTTTCATGTTTAGACTTTTATTCAAGATAAAAGTCTTCAATCTATTAAGTTTATCCCGCATATTAGAACCCTTGTCATATCTTTGAACTTTAACTTTAGACCGACATCATTCACACCAAGTAAAACATCATCAATGCCACTTTTCAAAGAAAGTGTATGTAACCATATAACAACATATCTAACTATAAGAATTTGCTTCATCACAACTTCAGAGTTGTTTATATTTCTTACTACAATTATTATATGTCTTCAACGGAGTCCTATGTATATCTAATAGTTTTTAAAAATAATGTCAATATGATTGAAATAAAGATAGGGGACAAAAATACGGAGTATGACTTAGATACCACCATACTAATTTTAGTGACCATGATTTTGTTCATTAGTTAATATTATGAAAAATACTGTAATTTTTTGTCACGATTACAGGAACACAATTTTTATCTTAAGTACTAATACTAAATTTCATGGTCGGAAGCAGGGGCACTTGCCCCCCTAAGCCCCTCCCTAGGTCCTCCAATGCGAACGGATGATGGAGTATTTTCTTAGGATTTGAATGCCGATGGAGAATGATGCAGCGATTTGAAAAGTAGGGAGCATATGTGAAAAAAAAAAATTAGTGGAGGGAGCATATGTGGAATAAGGCCAAGGTTGAGAAGAGAGATATTGCAACAATTATTGGTGGTGGTTTATGCATGCATACGCATACGCATAGGTAGGGGAGGGGCTTCCAATAATAGAGTACAACTCTTGACTTGGGTTATAGATTATGCTGTACGACCATACCACTGTTCTCTCACACTGTCTTTCCATTCGGCGGCTCTTTCTTCAGTCTTCGCTATCTTTTGACCAAAATCTTTTTTCTGTCAGGGTATTTCAATAGGATTGTGTTCTTGTCTCGGACTCTAGGATCCGCTTCAGTGAATCTCTTGAAATTATTCAACTTTAGATGAAAGACCCCAATTTACCCCAAAATAGTTACTCAAAATAGGAATATTAAGTTCATTGAATTTTATTAATCGGTTACTTGAATTTCTTTAAAATTTAACTAACAGAATAAAGACCAAATTATATGGATAAAACATAGAGAAGGCACTTCGTATCAGGCCGGCCTGACGAAAACAACCGTCAGACCGAGCCCATTTGGGGTTCTTTCTGGTGGTATTTTGTAATGAAACTTTTTAGACATGTTCTTCATCAAGTCTAGTTTATTTATACTAAATTTTAGCTAAAAAATCAATCAGAAAGACATTCAAATAAATGTGCTTTATATACATACAACAATGTTTGTTTCAACAATTTATTTGATGGTCTTCCCGATTGAATTTTTAGCTGAAATTTGGTATAGATAAACTAGACTTGATGATGAACATATAAAAAAAATCATCAAAAAATTCCACCGGAAAGGTTCCAAAAAGCCATCGGCCGGATGGCAATTCCTGTCAGGCCGGCCTGACAGAATCGCTACTCAAAAAACATAAATTCTCAACACTTCAGCCTATGTTAATTTACTTAAACCGTCTCGGGCCATATAGGAAACCGGCGACCCGCTTCAAAGACCGGGCCAGTTAGGAAAAAATCCAAAAACAAATCTGCCTTAACTCAAAGACCCGCTCAAAACCTACCTGTAAACCCCTTTTGAAACTCGGTAGAAACGGAAAATAAGTTGGACATTTTAATTTATCCAAAATGTCCACTGCACTATGAAGCTTGGGTGTTACTCCGTACAAGTTTTGTTTAGTTGATACTCTGTCTTTCCTGTTTTACTTATTTTAGTTTTTATTTATTTTTGTTGTTTCAAAATAATTGTCATATTTTCGTTTTACGAAAAAATAAGTAATCTATAACATTTCACTTTACTATACTCAAATATTAAGTACAATTTTGATTTTTGAACCAATTTATTAATAATTGTGTCAAAATGGGACATGCGTAGTATTATTTTTTAATGTTTCAATATGTTTAAGCTAAAACTTTTATTGATAATTATTAAAATATAATCACATTAAACATAGCCTTCTTATTGATGTGCTCCATCTGTCTCACTGGACTTTGGCAACTTCCCTTTCTATTTGTTTAAAAATACTATTTGTTTAAATATACTTTCACTTTCTTTTTAAAGTAATGAATTTGTTGTCATGTCGTTCATTTCTCGCTCTCCCTCCTCAGCACAAATCTCAAACATACAGTTTTTACTATTTTAATTTCACACCCAACATCAACTTGATAAATTGAGTGAGATGGAGTTAATACTACAAATCCTAATGTGTACAACATTCAAAATATGAGATGGAGTTACTATTTTTAACACGTTTGTTAGTACTACAGAAAAACATGTGATTGAGAATATTTTGTAAAGATTCGCCCAAATTCATAGAGGATTTGACAAGGATATGTCAAATTCGTATAAAAAACATTTCAACACGAGCTATTTGGCACGAAATTATTGGTCAATCTGTGCCAAATCCGTATTAATCTTGTAATCAATGGTCAATCTATGCTAATCCGTGCCAAATACTTTGTAAAAGGTATTCACATATACTCCTCCGATTTTTTTAGCTAAATTCCAATACATTTTGAATTTAGTTAAATGACGTATACATTGGAACAATGGTTTCATTTTCAATGATGTGATTATTAATTACTACCTTTGTCCGATACAAATGTTCTAGTTCATTATTTTGTGGTCAATGTAAATTCTTTTTAAATGTTTATTTTAAATATCCAACTTTTATCATTTTGAGCTTTTTGCGAGTTTATAAAACTTTTAAAATATTTATAATAATGTAAATTTTATTTACTAAAAAATCTAATTACGGATAGGGATCAGTTAACTTTATGCGTAGTCAAAATTCGTAAATTGTGTGAGAAACTCTCTAAGAGATGGAGGAAGTTTAGTAATAATATTATAAATAATGAATTTTTCCCTAGATTTTGATAATATACTCCGTACATAGTAATACAAGTTTATACTATGTATTTTAATTCTTCTTGCGATTTCATTCCACATAGAAGCTTACATTACATTATAAGGGAAATTCTATTCACAATCATCATTTTATTAAATACAGACAAAATTATTTTTTAAATCCAACTATACCCCTGTTTCCATTCCTCCGCTTCTTTCCATGTGCCGACTTGTCTCCAGATCATCGTCATCTCCCCTCTAGATTGCTACGAGGGGAATCAACCACTTCAAGGAGGTCTCTTTGCACAGTACAAGAAGAATTAGCATGCCACTTCTAATGGTTTGCCTAGCTATTTTCCATAGGGTTCTTGCCTCTTGAATTTGGAATTTTGCTCAGGAATCGGAAAGATTTCGAAACCCACTCAAAATAATGTCTTGAATGATTTCTCTATTATTTTTTTAAATTCTCTTGTTAAAATTGAAGGTCAATTGCTTTTCTTTTCCTGCCATAATGATTGATGGGGCACATCTTAAGATTCTTGACAGTCTCAAATGCATAGTAATTAGTTATGTGGGTATATACACACACATGTGTATATGTGGGAATTTCACAATTGTTCAGTTGCTCCAGGAGTATAACATGAAAAGTTAAGACCTTGCAATTAATCCACTTCCTTGATCGGCAAGGTTCCGTTTCCATCCCAGAGGTCTGCTATACTGCTCGCACTTTTTGTTAACATGTTTATGCGGGGGGCTGAAATCCCGCCGTCGGTGGCTCTTATATAGCCAGTTTCTTCGCACAATAGATGAAACTCGTCCGTTCCCGTTTGCCTATTTCAATGATGGTTAAGTTGTTTATGGTATGGGTAATTTAGACATTTTGTAGATATGTGGTTGTAGTTAGTAAAAGGGAAAACTGTCAAATCAGTCCATCTACTATGGGTGAAAAGTCAATTAAGTCCACATACAAAATATTCGGTCAATTGGGTACACATTGTTCCAAATAATGGTCAAATATGCATTTTTGCCTGTCGCCCACCGGTTAGCCGGTTACTGGGTGACGTGGCTTCATACGTGGCATTTCTAAACTGATGGGGGGAAAAAAATTATTACTAAATGAAACCCTCTGTCCTCGTCAGCCATATACTAACAAATGTTTTCCCTAATTTGAAAACGAGGCTTCATTACCTTTTCTTCTTTTACCCAAACGCTGAAGAATGGCTGCGAGGTGTTCTTGAATCGCAAGTGCAACCCAGAGGTTTTGGTGTGTCTTCGTTTCGAACGCGATATCATACAGGTAAGTTCCTAGGATTGTAGGGTTACAAATACAATAGTTGGATTATATGCTAGAGATTCCCTATATGCTGTTATCCGGCTGCTTTGCCCTATGTCTCATTCTTCCTCTTTTTTTGATTTCTTGAGTATTGATTGATTGTGTACATATTTTTTTAATGACCAAAGTTTTGCCTTATTTTGCTTTGTGGTTTACAGAATGTTTGACAAAGTGAACCTAATTATTCACCATGGCGGGAACTTTGTTAGTGTGCCTGAAACTATGTACGTAGGGGGAGAAGTGGAGTGTATCCCAATAGATCCGGACTTGATTTCTTATCCTCATTTAATGAAAGCCTTAAAGTCTGGGAGGTATGGAAATATTAAAGGACTGTTTTTTAAAAAACCTACTGATGCTATGGGTGACCTGCTTGCCCTGTTCAATGATGCATCCACACTTCAGCTCATACATATGGCTAGTACTTGTGGCCAGTGTGAGATATATGTAGAGCATGGTTTGGATGAGTGTGAACTGATTCTCCCTTTACCTGGACCAAATAATGAAAGGGTTATTGAAGAATTTGAAGTACAAGTTCAAGGTCTGACACCAGAAGAAGAAATGCAGACCAATGTTAGACAAAGTGAGGCACAAATGCATAGTGGTAAGGTTTATGAATTGCATCCTGAGGCTGATGATTCATCATCAGAGGAAGAAAGGCATGACAGTATGGAAGAAATCTGTGAAGATGGGCATGGCAATGGGAATCTTGAAAGGGATAAAGCCATTCAAGAAGATGAAGCAGAGTTTGAAGAACATGATTCTGATTTGGCAGACCTTACAGGTACAAATGATAATAATGACACTCATGAGGAAGCCACAGAAGTGGATGAGAGGGACAATGATGTGCATGTTGGGTCTGAGTCAAGGGATAAACCCACTCCAGAAGCTGAAACAGAGTTTGAAGAACATGATCCTGATTTGGAAGACCTTACAGGTAGAAATGATAAAAATGACACTGATGAGGATGCAGACAGTGTTGAATATGATTCTTCTAACCCAGGAAGCTACACATCTGACAAAGAAATAGATGATAAGCAGTCTAAACCTCCACACATCAACCATGTTTCCTATAATCCGGAGTCTGAACCTCCCCTGATTGAGGTGGCAATGCTTTTTGAAGATGCAAGGCAATTTAAGAATGCCATGGTTAGGTATGCTGTGTTTCATAAAAGAGATATTCGCTATGTGAAAAATACAGATACAAGAGTTAGGATAAAATGTGCCCCACCATGCCCTTATAATATTACTGCTAGTTGGGAACCTTGGCTGAAGTGCTTCCAAGTTAAGGTTCTTGAATCCGAACATTTATGCAATTTGAGGTTCAAGTTAAGAATAGTTAGTGAGAAATGGATAGCAGAGACATATGAAGAGAAGGTACTTGAGAACCCAAGCATGGGTGCAGTAGAGTTGAAGGAACTTATCAAGAGTGAGCTGAAAATTAATGTATCTGCTAGTATGGCCACAAGAGCTTTGAGGGATATACAGAAGAAAACAGAAAGAGATTTTAAACATCAGTTTATGAAACTAAGGAATTATGCAGAGGAATGTTTGAGGTCCATTCCAGATTCAACTGTGGTGATTCACACAACCAAAGTTGTCCCAGAATCTCCCTCAATTTTTCAACGCATTTACATGTGTTTTGGGCCAGTCAAACGAGGTTTTCTAGAAGGTTGTAGGAAGGTAATAGGGTTGGACGGTTGCTTCTTGAAAGGACAACTCAAGGGTGAGATATTAACTGCAGTTGGGAGGGATGCGAACAACCAGATGTTCCCCATAGCTTGGGCTGTGGTTGAGATTGAGAACAACTCCTCATGGACATGGTTCTTAGAGCTATTGAAGAGTGACTTGCAGATTACTAGGCCAGACTTATGGACTCTAATTAGTGATCAACAAAAGGTATTTCTTAATATTGTGTATTAGATGACATGCGAAAGTGAAATGTGAATACTATATTACCAATGTCAACTACTGTGTTACTGTATAACTATAAAGACTTATACCAAATCTTATGTTAAACCAAAACTGTAAAATATGAGGAAAAGCTTGGCTAGGTATAACATGAAAGGTATAACTTCATGTAATAAGACCACAGACCATTAAAATCATGGACTATACCATAATATAAGTACTTATACACTTTCTGACTTTATAGATAAAGAATTCCCATTGACTATAGATCATTGTAATTACATTCAAGCATTTAAAAGAAGTTGAATGTTTAACAAAGTTGCATATACAAGCATACATAAGAATGTGTTTAATGCATACGTTCAAGCATATATATTTATGTACAGAAGCACACATAACAGCAACTTTGTGGATAAGTAATTCCCTTTTATGTAATTAATGCAGGGTCTATGTAATGTGATCGCCAATATCTTCCCTGAGGCTGAGCATAGGAACTGTGCTAGGCACATACATGCGAATTGGAGCAAATCACATAGGGGGATGGTGTTTCGCAAATTGTTTTGGAAATGTGCAAAGTCCACATGTGAACCACAATTGATAGATGCACTAGCAGAAGTAGACAAGGCTGATATTCAAGCTGGTACGGATTTGAGGAAATATTCATTGAAGTTATGGTGCAAGGCATATTTCAGAACCGAAGTGAAGTGTGATACAGTAGATAACAACTTGTCTGAAGCTTTCAATAGCAGCCTACTCAAATGCAGAAGCAAGCCATTGATTCCCATGCTTGAAGACATCAGAGTTGGAATGATGAAAAGAATAGCAAAAAAAAGGAAATATGTGGAAAGGTGGCCTGGTAAGATATGTGTATATTAGAAACAGCTAAATAAAATGTGTATTTTATCCTTCCTGGATTTATGTAATGGTTTATGACCTTTTAACCTATGCCTGTGTTAGGAAATTTTGGACCAATCATTATGAAGAAGCTAAATAAAAATGTGTTAGCAAGCCAAGCTTGGCATGTGGACTTCAATGGTGATGATGGCTACGAGATTAAGAAAGGAAGACATCAATTCAAGGTCAGCCTTAATAGAAGAACCTGCTCTTGTAGAAAATGGGACCTCAGTGGTATCCCGTGTGCCCATTCTATCTGTGCAATCCTGGATAAGGGAGACCAACCGGAAGACTATGTGGACAGATGGTACTCAAAAGAGCTATACCAAAAGACCTACTCTTATACCTTGCAACCAATAAATGGAGAACTGTTGTGGCCTAGAACAGAACATGAAGAAATGTTACCTCCTTTACCAAGAAAGATGTGTGGAAGGCCTAAAAAGAAGAGGGTAAGAGAGGAAACTGAACAAGCAACGTCAAATACAAAACTGAGTAGAAAAGGTAGGATTATGACATGCTCCATATGTCATAAAGAAGGACACAACAAATCTTCATGTCCAAATAAGAAGACACCTACTGAAGAAAGAGGGTCAGGGACAGGACCTAGTCTTGATGCAGGTGGATCTGGTCATGTGAATGATGATTATGGAGATGTTGGGAATGGAAGAGGTGGAACGGGAAGAGGGGGGAGAGGTAAAGGAAGAGGAAGAACACCACAATCTTTTGGCAATAGAAGAGGGAGAGGAATAGGGAGAGGGAGAGGAGGTAGGACTGATACAGCTGGCCTAAGTGGATGTAAGTTAATAATATTTTCACATGTAAAATATGAAACAAATTAGAAATTTATAATACCTAACTTGGTTTGTTACCTCTTTGCAGCCAGGACAACCAAGTGAAAGAATTGTTGGTGGATGTCCATGAAGTGGTAAAGATGAACTGAATTGTTGAAGTTTCTGTGTGGATGCGTGAAGATGATAAGGCTACTATTTTTTTTTCCTTTTCAGACTCATGATTGATGGATATGTGTAGCCCATGTGTTGTTGTCCTTTTTGTCCCCTTTAAAGAGGGTTGTTGTGGCCTTTAAAGTTGCCTTTTTTGCTTTTGTTTTGTTATATTTCGGATTTAAGGCAGATTCAAAGTTGGGGGCCCTTTACAGTTGCCTTTATTCCTTCACATGATGTATTTTGTTTGGATGCTTTATTGGATTTAATGTGGAACGTATTAAAAGTATTAAGCTAGTATGGTTACTTGTGTTCTGCACATGTTTTTACCATTGACCTCTTTCTTCTGCTTGTGTTGTTCATTACAACACACATAATTATACATCTCCATTCATCCCTCATGCAGAATCAGTGTAAAATGGCAGCTTTAAAATACATCTCCATTGATCAACAAAATTGGAACACTTATTATACATAAACCACCTTATTATTCATCCTTCATTATGTATCTCTTTAAACAAAATTGGATCCTTAATTATACCAGCTTATTATTCATCCTTAAAGTTAGTACTCTAACTTTATTATACAATGGTTTTACTAAGATCCAGTACACAAGCCACTCACTATTTTGACTACAAACTACACAACTTACAATACAACATTCCCAGTAAACCAATTACTACAACAAAACCAATGCCAAACAAGTTCCTAAACATCTTGAAATCCTTTGCTTGTGCTTGTACTACCCTTCTCACACCATTGACTTGGCCTTGTACAGCAGTTAATTGTTCACCAACTCTGGATACCATGACTTTCAAATCTTCAGTGTTTTCATTCATCCCTGCAACGTTTGGAACCCCCCTCGTTTCCATAGATTCGGCCCAGGCAAAATAACCACACCCATGACCCTGTTCAATGTTAATCTATTTTATCATTTGCATCTTACACACCAAAATCAAGCAAATTTAACATTTACCTTCCATTTTTGACACCCATAGAACTTACTCCCGCTCTGTCGCGACACACAAAGGGGAGCTTTCAGCCCACAGAAGCAATAAACGGCCGGGTCATAATCCAGGGTGAAGTTCCGTACTTTTCTCGCAGTTGAAGTAGATGAGGATGAAGCAGCCATTTTCGCAGATGGAGAATATAGATGGAGAAGATAAGAAATAGATGGCCTAGGGTTCTTTTAATTCGCAGATGGAGTAAACAGGTTTTGGCTGACGAGGACAGAGGGTTTCATTTAGTAATAATTTTTTCCCCCCATCAGTTTAGAAATGCCACGTATGAAGCCACGTCACCCAGTAACCGGCTAACCGGTGGGCGACAGGCAAAAATGCATATTTGACCATTATTTGGAACAATGTGTACCCAATTGACCGAATATTTTGTATGTGGACTTAATTGACTTTTCACCCATAGTAGATGGACTGATTTGACAGTTTTCCCTTAGTAAAACAGCGGTTGCGAATAGAATTTCCCCATTGTAAATCAATTTCGGGTTTATTTTTGGTTAATTCGGCCCATACTTTAATCCTTACATATGACAGGGCTAAGGTATCATATACACATGCCCATTATTGGCCCAAAATAGGAGTAGGCCAGATAATCAGAAGGGAAAACTGTCAAATAGGTTCTCGAACTTTCATAAAAAAGTCAATTAAGTTCTTCTATAGGAGGTTCTGTCCCGCCGTCGCGACTTGGGGCAGTTCCCGGTGGAATTTTTTGATGAAATTTTTTGAGCATCTTATTCACCAAGTCTAGTTTACTCATACCGAAATTCAGCTGAAAATTCAACCGGGAACACATTCAAATTAATTTTTGAAGATAACTGCACATTTTTGCGTTCTCGAATTAATTTGAATGCGCTCCCGATTAAACTTTTAGCTGAAATTTGGTATGAGTAAATTAGACTTGATGAATAAGATGCTACAAAATTTCATCAAAAAATCTCACTGGGAACCGCCCCAAATCGCGACGACCGGACATAGTCTCCTATAGAAGGACTTAATTGATTTTTTTATGAAAGTTCGAGGACCTATTTGATAATTTTCCCTAACCAGAAACATGTTTATGACATATGAACAATAGTGCACTGCATCACGGATGTCGGACACTAGTGTGAATCCAAGAATTTGGGTAGAACTAGGCTTAACTTTAGCTGGTGGGCTAAACACAAAAATGAAGAAATTTATACTAAAGAATTTTTTCTGGGTGGAGGGGGGAACTCCCTAGTTGGAATTTGGAAATATCAATGAGCCTGCAAATTCGGTCTTAGGGTGATTTTACTTAGACTGGTTTTAATTTCATATTAAACCAGACCAGACTTAAATAGAATATATCAAATCAAACTTAAACAGACAACTCAAGACCTCAACAATTGTAATACTCCATATAAATCATAGATCTACCAGACCAGATCAAATCATAATAAAATAGAACAGATCATATCATACCAGAGATTATCAATTCAATTAACGCCATCCTTAAAAATTTATAAGAGTTCTAATTTAAGAATAAATCTTAATGGGTGAGCCAGAGAATTGACACATTGGCCCTACGTGCGTGCATTTCTAAAGCACTACACCCGCTACTTGGCCTGGTTATAAATGATGGGTCATAGCGGAGTAGCGGACTAACGCCAGGTAATATGTTTAGCTCGTAGATCATCTCATCATCACCTCGTTGGCTCGTTCGGTTCAGTTCCAAAATTTATTAGTTATTTCTTAATCATTCGGTTCCTATTTTTATTAACGACTCGGTTCTCGGTTCCTGAAAATAATATGTACCCGGAACATTTAAGGAACTGTTATATATAATAACTAAAATTATATATATTTCGTATTAGTATATATATTTTAATGTATATTTACTTCTCTATTTTTATATTACATTCACTATTTTAGTTTAGTTAATTAACTATTTAAAATTATTTTTCACTTTAACCGGTCTTATTGGGCTTCTTTAGTGAATATCTTGTTTTGTTTTGTTTATTAAAATTTGCATTTTGTTATGTATTTATGTTTTAAACTTAACTTTTGAGGTTCGAAATGATGTTCAACATATTTGTATTATAATTTCAAACGTCTTTTTGACACAAATTTAAACCGTGACTTTTAAGAATTTTTTAAAGGCTAAGAACCGTTAAATGACAAGAACCGAACCGTTAAGAATGGTTCGGTTCCTTATCGGTTCTATAAAATAATTTATAAGAACTGAACCGTTAGTAAAATTTCATATTTTCAAACGGTTCCATATACTTTTCTTAGAAACCGAATCGGTCGCGGGTCTAATTCTTCTACACGAGTACACGGTTGTTATTTTGTTAATCTTTTTCTCTTCATGTGACAACTCAATTGTGAGTATGGTGGATAATTTTGTTTATATCTTTCTGATCTAGCTTTACTTTGCTGTTGGTATGGTTAAAAATTATTGATATTTTTGTTAATATAATTGTTTTTAATTTTGTGTTATGAAATAATACCTAATATAATAGTATATGCCTAAAATAAGTGTAAAAACTATGTTGTAAAAATCAGACCGAGAAATGAACCGGCGGATCAACCCAGTCAATGCCAAGAGAACCGATCAACGTTAATTGAAAATAAAACATATAATATGGAGTATAATTATATAATAGATTAAAGTTGTATTGTCATGGATTACTCATTCAAAAATTTAATAAAGAAAAATTGACAAGAATAATCCTATATTTGACTGATCTTCTCATAATAATATTCTCACTTTTACGTAATTCTAGAATAGTTCCACATTTGCACCTCGTTTTCTTTCATTGGACCCTGACCTGTTGATGATCTGCTACTATACTAGGTTCTTTACGCTTTCTATGAAAATCTTATATAAATAATCTCACCTTTCACAAATCTGCTCAAAACGGTTCCATGTTTATTTTTTCCTTTATTCTCCCTAAATTTTTTCACAAATAGAAATGAATAAGAACTGATGTGACAAAATGTTAGTCTTTTTCACAAAATTTAAAATATGTTTGGAATTAGATATTTAGATGGACAATATATGCACATAATACTAAAAGTATTTTATAAATAGTTGGTTAGTATGATAGTAGCAATAAAAATGGTTATTATTATGATAACTACTAACTAATACTCCGTACTTAGGGGTGGAAATATGTCAAATCAGACTTTAACCTAACCAGGTCGGGCATGTCTTATTATACATAGGCTTGAGCTGGGCCTATTGCATGTTAAAGGCATGTTTTTGACCTAAGCCCAACTTGTTTAAAAGTTTGATCTGATCTGAAACATTTTCAAAAGATTCATTGAGTGAAAATATAAAATGTCCAAAATGTTAAAAATAGAAAAATGTCAAATTCATTTAACTCAATATAAAATTTGTCCTCTAAATTAGTCATGAAAGAAAAAACCTAATCATAGAATTTGTGCTTTTAAGAGTTTTTCACATAAATATTACAAACATAAAACTCATTTACATAAATACATCTAATAGTTACTACAATGTAGTTAATAGTAACTTATATTTAAAAATTGAACACAAAATTACTATGATTTAATTATTACTCTAATAACTAGTCACATTTTTATAAACAATCTTACTAACAGTCATAAATATGTAACTAACGCCTTTTAAATGCCTAATAATACGTCAGTTGTGCAACTAAAAAAGTGTCTAATGAGTAATGACTCTTACAGTCTTACTTCGTAGTGATACACTGATACACTCGGTTCATGAGTACGCGCACTATCTAGAAAAGTCTCATACATGAGTACATCAGTTCGCAATGAAGGCTTATGAAGTACTGGAGTTCCGCCAGTGAGCGTAGTCATGAAACACTTTAACATTTGAAGCAATTGACTTTTTGAAATATTTAAAATGATGCACTTCACAGAGAGTACCAAATGAAACTTGTCACAGAAAACATTATATTTCAAAATAACAGGACATACGAGATATATAGAAACACACACAACACATTCATTCAAAAAGTTACGAAATGAAACTTGTGACAATCAAACATTATTTTTCAAAATAACAGGACACAATGGGGTATGTCAAAGTACAAAAGCCTCACATAACAGCAATACACCATTCATGTACACATTCAACTGCTTACTATGAATTCCAGAATATGGTTTTACTACAAAATCTCAGCCGAGTGAATACGAGCACATAAAACTCAGACTAGTTAGAACGGTAAAACACGTAGAAGAAGCACTCAATCTGGTCTTCTCAGTTTGATGTTAAGGGGAGTCTCTTTGTAGGACTGAACCTTCTCGGCTGCTTTACGTAATGGCCGGCCGCAGATGGACTTTCTGGTTGGTCGTTGATGATCAGAAGGCAAGGGAGGGGTGATGGTTGGATCATGAAGGGATTCTGTTGCAATGGTGTCTTCCAACAAGTTCTCCTCTTTTTCCTCCTCCTCCTGCTGCTGCTTTGGGTAAAATGCGGACTGCCTCCTTATGCGCCTCCTGCACAGTATATATAACTATATAAACCCAACTTGTTGCTTCTTTTTTAGTACATTTGAATATTTAAAGGAAGATAATATAATATGATTAAAATTAACCGTTTTTCAGCAATTTCTTCTTTTGGAGCTTGTTGTGAAGCAGTTGAATGGCTCATAGGAGTCATGGCTGATAAAAAAGATTTAAACTTTACAAGTAAGACACACGCAAAAACATTACAAGTAAGAAACTAGAAAGAAAATATGGTAGTGGTTACATCGACTTCTTGTGGCACGAAACTGCCCTCCTCCCCTTCTAGGTCTGCTGCTCTCTGCAATTGGTAGAGCTGCTGCCGCCTTCCCATCCTATATTATTTCAATAATAAAGTTACAAAAGAATTAGTAGCGTTTTGAGTTTAACATTTATACTCTAACAGGAAAGAATATAAGATTCTTTTGAGCTAATTACATACCTGACTCTCATTCTTTCTACCTTTGATATTTTCTTGTTCCTGTAATAGCAATAGAAATTTCAATCATTTAGAAAAGGGTGAGTTCCCTAAATAGTAGTAAAACATGTTTGTTTTTTAGACAGTGGATTCTCCAAGGTTCTTGAAGAATAAATGAAAAAAATACTATAATGTCCTTGAGCTAGTATATATTTCTGACATTTCTTGATGTTTTAGCCTGCTAGGAGAACAAGGGAAGTGTTGGATTACTGAATTCCAGGCATCTAGATTAATGGTTCTCTTTTCATCAAACAAGATTCATAAGTGACTATTTGTTCATCTCTCTGCATCTTAAACTAAGAACGTCGCTACTAATTGTGCTATTAAAAGTTAAAACACCGATAAACATCATGGAAAATATTACGGAGTAGTGTTAACTATGATATTATTAATGCATGGTACTTGAATCGGAAAGCACATAACAACCAAAACGCTTTGAATATGTCAAAATATATCCACAGTTTAAAAACCTTTGATTCCAGATCTTTTGCTTTGAGTAGCACAATCTTGCAACCAAGCTCATGACGAATCAAATTTAACTGCATTATCAAATAGAACTATTAGAAAGAATAGAGAACGAAATTGGCCAGAAGGCCTTTTCAAATCCAATTTACACTAAATTGCATATTACCAATTTCTTATGGTGGGTGGTGGGCTTACCTTTTCTTTCAGTAAGGTCACTTCCTGCAAGAGAAACACGCGAGGCAAATCATCATCATCATCATCACCAAGATTGTAATACAGTTATACATGCTTCGTGTAAAAGCATAATATATCAGAAAATGTGTAGGAAAACCCACCGCAGTCATTTGGCTGTTTGACTGAGCAAGACTCTGGTTCTGAAGCTGCATTTTCTGAAGTGAAACCCTCAATTTCTGAATCTCAATCCCGCTCAATTCTATCACTTTGCTGAAAATGATGTTCAAGAAAAAACTCTTGCTACTCATTCTAATAATAAAACCTAGAAGAACATTAAAAAGAATGATGAAAGCAAATAAAACCTTACTTTTTGTCTTCAAAGAGTTTCAACAACGCCATGTTTTCCTATTTCAAGCACATATCACAAAGAAGGGTCAATATGCTTCAGAAAAATAAAACCACCGCCCTTGTTCCCTTCCAAGAGTATGCCCCCTCTCCCAGTTTATTATTGAATTTAATTAATGGTAAATTTATACCTTGACAAGATGATTGATGTATTCCTCTGGAGAAACATCTTTCCCCTTACCCATCAGAAACTTGGGTGGTAGCGTAGAATTTGTGATGTCTGAGAGCCTCTTTCTGACAACGCCGCCAAAAGATGACTGTTTTGCCACTACTTCGCTTGTCATTTTAGGTAAATGATGATATTCAATCGAAATTCGCAAAACATTAAACCCTAATACCCAGATTCAAGAAAGCTAACAGGATCAAAATCTGCAAAACAGTACAATTCGAAACCCTAGAAGCCTTTCCCACGAACAACCAGAGGAATTCGATATTTAATTGCACGCGGCGGATGTTGTTTGGGAGTAGAACAAGTTTAACTGTGGTTTGGAAGAAGGTCGAAGAAATGGTTCTAGAGGATTCAATATCAGCTTTACTGATATAATGCAAATTGGGAAGGGTTTAGAGGATGACGGAATTCTTAGAAGAGCAGAAGTGGAAAAATATTGGCCGTCGTAAACACAGGAATATATAATGCGTAGTAGATGATAAAACGAAGGCTCAAGAGATCTTTAGGTTCGAATTTCCAACGGCTTCATGAAGCAAAGAAATTCAGCTGCCGGTCATACCCAAGCCTGATTTTCAAACGCCAACTAGCTCATGTTGAGTTTTTTTTTTTGAAAGAAAAAGCTAAACCATAGTGCGTATTTATTTAACCAATAATTTAGAGTTACAATTACACAAAAACTCAATATCCACTAACTATCTTCTAATAGATTGGAATTATTTCCACCTTTGATCCTACGAGCTTCATGTCATTTCTACATTTAGTCGACGTCTTTCAGTTTTTCCATTTTTGGTACTTGATTAATGTTTCTAGACCATTTGTTGTCCTTCTCCGGCGATTTTAACCACCGGAATTGTTGTCGGAAGGACCATGTATGGGCGAAAACACAATACTCATGTACCAAAAGTGGTCAAAGTCAAAGACGTGGACCAAATATGGAAATGACATGAAACTCACAGGACCAAAAGTGGAAATAATTCAATAGATTGTATCTAGACTCGAGAAAAGTCATATGCAAAAAAATCGCTTTCAAATATGATCAGGAGATGACCACTTTCAATAAGCAACATAAATCGCTGATCACCAAAAGAACTGTTATAGAGTTCTTTCTGACCCTTAAGGTCACTGCACTCTTTAGCACATCAATAAACTCAAAATAGCTGAAGAGTTTTCTCAATCCTTGATCAGACATAGAAAAATTCACCCAAAATAGAGCGAATTTTTTAGCAGAACATACTATAGATTTGAGGCAAATAACGGGCATAAGCACTCCCCAAAATACCTCTAACACAAACAAGCCAAGAACATAGTAAAAAGTCTAAAAAGATATAAGTAAAGTTGGAAAGAAAAGCAAGACAATAAATCGCATGCAGCCTCATCCAAATTTGAAACGTCTTTTTTCAAACCCTGGTCACCTGATCTCTCCAGGTTGGCGGTTTTGAAGGGGGGTAGACTAGTAGTATTGCATCTTCATCTTCTTCCTCTACACAACTCGTAAAAAACGCAAACGTAATCCCCCCGACCAAACGAATCTGGCATGGACACAACAAAACTCCTCCCCACGCCGAGTGAGACAAACCACACTGGAGCACCAATGCCCGGGAAAGAACAACAACAAGACAACACATACACCACAACAACAAGAGAAAAAATAAAGTGAATTCTATTCATACCAAGAAATCAGAAAAAGGATCTTCGACGATGCTAGGGTTTCCAATCTGGACGAAGCATACTCATCCAAATCCAAAATGAGCGAGTCTTAACCACAAGTCATCAATCGGCGGAAGACAGAACTGCACCTTGATAACCTAATCGATCAGAGGTAAAAAGGAGCACTCTTGCCGCAGAGATATGCGATTTCATGCGCTGCTGGTCTCAACAAAGAGAAGTTGATTCATTAGACAATAAATTTATTAATGCTGACGTGCTCATGTCGAGTTAAATAAGGAGTAAATGGGAGAGTCATAAAAGGGGGTCTTAAGTTCAACTCCAAGCGAATATTTGGAATGAAATCTCACTCTCTTTCCATTAATGTGTGATCAAAACTTAATTTACATTCTCAGGTAGCTGTCCAGTCGGTTCCGAAAGCTCTCAAAGATGAGATGTCATTTTTTTAATAGAATAAATGTAGATATTGAAACATTTGGATGAAAGTACAAAAAAAAATCCAAATGCTTCAATTTACTCCTAGAAACAATTTTGGGGGAAATCGGCTTCTAAAAAATGAAAGAGTGATTGTGATTCTACATGTCTAAAAAACATAAACAATCAATTCCAAATACCTCACATGTCCACCTTTAAAAACAAAGTTCAAGTGCATTTATTTGAAATAGGAACTACATTTGAAAATTGAGAAAAAATTAACAATACGAAATACATTTTCTAATAAATATCAATTAGTAAAGCCAGTGAATTTCACTGTCGAAAAAACCCTACGGAGTAAGAAAATGGCCGACGGCCGCCGTCGATCAAGATAGGAGAGCGGGGCGGAGGGTAAGACAACGGTCGCGGGGGGCGTCCAAGACCAAGGCAGAGGGGGTTGTGTTTTGTCGCGAGCTGTCTGAGGTGTTGGTCAAGCCTTCAAGGCATCTGGCGATCGTCCTTCGCGGTGGCAGTGCGAAGTGCTCCAGCAGGGGTTTTGTCTTGGGGCTGAGTTTTAGCTTCCAAGTGTGATGTTTTTCTAGGTGTAGCCTAGCCTGTTTTTCCGGCGGCGAGGCCATCGCTACGTCCGGCAGTTTCGGAATATGAGCATCATTAGTTGGCGGATTTGATTCAGGCTCATAGACCTTCTGTTATTTTCCTGATGGAAACAAAAATTCGATGTCAACGTGCGAAAGATATTCTCCGGGGATATGGTTTTAACCAAACAGTGGGGGTGGATAGTGCGGGACTTAGTGGAGGATTGATCGTGGGCTGGAATGAAGACCTGGAGTTGGAGGTTGTTCAATGCAGTTCAAATGTTGTGGATGCTACGGTTTGGCTGGCTCCTAATGATCGAGCATGGCATCTTACCTTTTTCTATGGATACCCGGAGGCAGAGCGCAGGAGAGATTCATGGAAATTACTTACAGGATTAGGTGAGAACAACAACCAGCCATGGATGATTTTGGGAGACTTCAATGATATTCTCTATGATTCAGAGAAGAAAGGTAGTAACAGTCATCCTCTTTGGCGGCTAAGAGGATTTAGAGAGGCGGTGACATCATGTGGATTAAGGGATTTTCCTTTTGACGGATATCAATGGACATGGGAGAGAGGCACAGGCACTAGGTATCATGTGGAGGAAAAGCTGGATAGAATATTGGTGAATGATGACTGGTGGAACAGGTATACGGCAGCACAAACATGCTCGGTGGAAGCCCCAGTAAGTGATCATATGGCGTTATTTGTTAAAATTATCCCTGCCATAATAACTCCAAGAGCTAAGACTTTTAAATTTGAGAATAATTGGCTGAAAGAGGAGGAGTGTCGAACGGTAGTAGCTGATAGCTGGCTTGCGGGCTCGCAACTATCGGTCAGTGAGAGGATTGCTTTTTGTGGGTCTGAACTTCAGAGGTGGGATAGTCGCAGAACAAAAGGATTCCGACAGCATATTCAAGCTTGTAAGAGAAGATTGGCTTGGCTACGAGGGAGGGAGGATAGGCCGAGTATGAACGAATATTTAAGACTGCGGTCTAATCTCTGCTCCCTCATTGAGAAGGAGAACTTATTTTGGAAACAGAGGGCTAAGGAATTCTGGCTGAAGGAGGGGGATATTAACTCTCGTTTCTTCCATAATGCGGTTAAGAATAGACGAAGGAAAAACAAAATGACAGGGTTGAGACGAGAGGATGGGATATGGTGCTCGGATAGAGGCCAGGTGGGCGATATGGTGAGGGATTATTTCGAGCAACTCTTCACCCGGAGGGATAATGTCGAGATTGCGGACAGTTTCGGAGATTTCGGACAGGTTACAGCGGATCAGAATAGGAGTCTTCTCAGGGATATAAGACAGGAAGAAGTGCGAGCAGCCATTTTTAGCATGCATCCTGAAAAAGGCCCGGGGCCAGACGGTATGAATCCTGCTTTCTTTCAAAAATATTGGGATATTGTGGGCCCGGAAATTTGTAGGTTGTGTTCTCATATGTTCGGCTCAGGAAGAGTTCCTGGGGAGATAAATATGACAAATCTTGTTTTAATTCCTAAGAAAGACAAACCTGAGGTAATGGGGGACTGGAGGCCTATCGCGCTCTGTAATGTTGTGTATAAAAATTTTTCAAAGGTTCTGGCTAATAGATTAAAAGGGCTGTTGGGGAATCTTATCGGAGAAAATCAAAGTGCCTTTGTGCCTGGGCGGTCTATTGTGGATAACGTGGTAGTGGCCTTTGAGACGCACCATTTTTTGAAAAGGAAGAGCACTGGTAAAGAAGGATTCGTGGCCTTGAAGTTAGATATGAGTAAAGCTTATGATAGAGTAGGGTGGGATTTCCTACGGGTGATTGTGCTTCGTATGGGGTTTGCGAGGAGATGGGTGGATATGGTAATGCAATGCGTTGAGACAGTGAGCTATTATGTACAATTTGACAGGAACCTGTTGGGACCGATTGTCCCGGGACGAGGATTACGCCAAGGGGATCCCTTATCCCCTTATCTTTTCATTCTTGTAGCAGAAGGTCTCAGTGCTCTTCTACGCAAGGCTGAGAATAGGGGCATGATCTACGGAGTGGCAGTGTGTAGGGGGGCACCCCGAGTCTCACATCTTCTTTTTGCTGATGATAGTTTTCTTTTTTTCAGAGCTAATAGTGAGGAGGCACAGACTGTTAAAAATATTCTAGCTACATATGAGGAGAATTCAGGTCAGACGGTAAACTTTTCAAAGTCTTCATTGTCTTTCAGTCAGAATGTGGGGGAACCTTTTAAAGGGGCTTGTAGTAGTATATTCGGGATCCCGTCAGTTGGGGGTCAAGGCAGGTATCTTGGTTTACCGACCCTGGTGGGCAGGAATAAATCTGCTATTTTGGGCTATTTGAAGGAAAAAATATTTAATAGAATAAAGAATTGGAATAATAGATTTTTATCCAGGGCGGGTAGGGCAGTTTTGCTAAAAAATGTGGTTCAGGCTATGCCTAATTATGCAATGAATGTTTTTTTACTGCCAAATAATCTCTGTGATGAAATTGAAAAATTAATGAATGGATTTTGGTGGAGGGGGTTGAAATTTGAGCAGAAGGGACTGAGATGGAGGCACTGGGAAGTGTTATGTAGGCCCAAAAATATGGGAGGTCTTGGATTCAGGAGAATACAGGACTTCAATCTGGCAATGTTAGCTAAGCAGGGATGGAAGCTAGTGACAAATTCTTCAAGCTTAATGTGCAGGGTTTTGAAGGCCAGGTATTATCCTAACTCGGATTTTTTACATGCTCAGGTGGGAAGTAATCCTTCCTTTATATGGCGTAGCATTTTTGAGACAGAAAATATTCTTAGAAATAATTCCCGTAGGAGGGTTGGGAATGGAATTGAAACTCAGGTATGGGCTGATGCATGGCTGCCGGGGGCAGGAGAGGGTCGGGTTTCCTCAGCAAGACCCACTGGAACCAGAGATATGAATGTTGCGGCTTTGCGAGATATAACTGGGAGAAAATGGAACAGGGAGAGAATATGTAGTATTTTTAATGAAGAGGACAGGCAAAAGATATTAAGCATTCCTATTAGTTCTTATGACAGAAAGGATGGGTACTGGTGGAATGGCGAGATTAGTGGGAAATTTACTGTGAAGAGCTGTTATCGCTTGCTCGTGGGTGAGATGCAGATTGGGGATGGTTCGAACTGGTCTCGGTTATGGAATTTGCATATCCCTCCGAAACTTAAATACTTTGCTTGGCAGGCTATTGATGGCTCTCTTCCTACTGTTGAGAATTTGAGGAAGAAATGTGTGCAGGTCTCTGGTGGATGTAAAGTGTGTGGTGACTCGATGGAGGACACGGATCATGCCCTGCGAGGATGTGAAAGGGCAAAAGAGGTATGGAGGAAATTGGGAGTGGATCTGGGAAGACCGGCAGAATCGATGAATGAGTGGTTCTGGAGGCAGCTGGACGGGCCAAGTGAGGAGGATCGGTGCAAGTTTATAGACACCTTATGGAGTCTATGGAAAAGGAGAAATGGATGTGTTTGGAAGGATAAATGGCAGGGGGCGGTGGGTGTTATAAATTCAGCGGCAGGAATTATTGCGGGGTGGAGAGATGCCCAAGGTTCTGAGGCTCCAGATCAGGCTAGAAAGGAAAAGAATGGGGTGCATGTGTGGAAGCGGCCGCGAGAGGGGGTTATTAAAATTAATGTGGATGGGGCGGTGGATGAGGCGACACAAACCAGGGCGTGGGGATGGGTAGCACGAGATCATGCGGGAGCTTTCTTAAAAGCAAAAGGAGTCTCTGTAGCAGCCAATTGGACAGTAATGGAAACAGAGGCGACGGGGATTCTAGATGCTTTGATTGGAGCAGCTCAGGCAGGATGGGAGTGGGTGGAGGTGGAAACGGATGCTCTCTCGGTGGTTCAGGGATTAAGGAATGAAGAAGGCTCATCTTACCTTTTTCTTATTATTGATGATATTAGACAGGTGTTGAAAGATAAGAGTAATTTCAGTGTTTCTTATTGTAAGCGGTCCGTGAATCGTGTTGCTCATGCGTTAGCAAGAGCACATGTGTCCATCTCGGATCAGTGTTGTTGGTATGATAGTATTCCTGACTCTATTGTAAGCCTGTTGGCACATGATTTGGAGAATTAATATATATACCGGTTGGAGTTCAAAAAAAAAAATATCAATTGGGATTTCCGCCGACGTTGGTTGTTGTTTTCCCTTTGTCACAGGACTTCATATGTTTTATTGGCATCCCGTATCCGTGTGAATGCCCCAAGCAACACTCTTTCTTGCACCACTTGCAAGTTGTCCACCACAGTCCGGTCTTTGGGTCCTTCCACTTATCAAAATTGTTTTGCATAAGGGAAGATGTACTTTCCATCTTTAAAATGGTATATGTAATATGTATAAGTAGGAATGTAAGATAATAAGAGAAGATGAAGATGGAGAAGAGTTGAAGAAGATGTGTAGAAAAATGGTAGAAAATAGATGTATTTATAGATTTTTTTGAACCCCACCCCCACACCACCACCCCCGGGACCCCCTGCCCCCCACCCTAAGCCCCAACGCTATATAGCCGTTTGGGAGCTAATTTAAAATGTTTTTAATTTTTTTTTTTTGAAAATTAAACATTTTGTAAAATAAGTTAATTAGTTTAATGAATTAAGTAAGTAAAACTATTTTTACTTAGAAAATTGGTTTGATTTATAATTTACAAATGTTACAAAATAGGTGTATAAGTATTTAAACAAATTACATATTGAAGTTGTAACTTGTAAGTTTGTAACCAATCAATTAATTTACATATTAATATTACATATTTTAATTTAAAAACAGCCTTTATATTTTACAAAAATAATTTGAAGATGTAAGTTATAAGTTTGTAACAATTAATTAATTTGAGAAGTGCTACATATGAAAAATGAACGCATATTTATTTGAAATATGAAGTACAAGTTTACAAATTAATTTGAAGTACAACTACAAATTTACAATTTTGAAATATGAAGTACAAGTTTACAATTTTGAAATATGAACTACAAGTACTCCGTATAAATTAATTTGACAAGTGCTATGAAATATAAGCAGAGAAGTAGATATTATTATGTATTAAGTATATAGTATATGTATTTATAAGTAGATAATTAATACTCCCTCCGTCCCGCTAACAATGGGACAAGTGGGAGTGACACGCAAATCAATAAAAGTGAGTTATGTGGTTGAAATTGAATTGATAAAGTAAGAATAAAGTAAAGAGTAATTTGGAGCCACACAAATTTTGCCTATTTGGTATGAGACAATCTTAGTGGGACGGACCGGAAAGGTAAAATGGAACAATCTTAGCGGGACAGAGGTAGTATATAAGTAGATATAATAATTGTATAAGTATTAAATAGTAAAATAAAATATAATGGAGAATAAGAGAATTTGAGAAGATGAATATGGAGATGAGTAGAGAGTAGAGAGTAGGATTTAGGAAGAGTTGGAGAAGAGGTGTGAAAAAATGTTTAAAATTAGGAGTATTTATAGTTTTTTTTAACCCCCCCCAAAGACCCCGGACCCCCCTGGTACCCACCCAACGGCTATATAGCCGTTTGGGAAGTGGGTCAAGTGGTCAAAATACTTTTTTAATTTAAAAGGATTTTTTTTTTAAAAAAAACAATGGACTGTTAGGCCCGGGCCCGACCCAGTCGGGCCAGGCCGCCAAAAACAACACCCGAGCCCGGACCAACCACCCCCACCGGTTCGGTGCCCGAACCGGACCCGGCCCCGAGAACCGGGCCGGTTCCGGGCCCGCACAGTAACGGACCGGGCCGGTCTCGGGCCGGGCGGCCCGAACCGGATCCACCACTTGGTGAGTCAATGTGGATGCGGGACGCCCTTGTTTTCTCACAATAAGTTTTGGTGAGAAATGAGAATGAATACGACCATAATACATATATAAAATACTAAAAAGTATCTTAAGCACAAAATCTGACATTTGACACCCTAAAGTTAAGATCTACCCCCTCCGTGGCTCCGTCCCGCTAAGATTGTCCCAGACACTATTCACTTGGTCAACACAAATAACTCTTAATCTCTTACTTTATACATCAAATTTTTTATCGAATGTGATTCTGGTTTTTGCGACTTTCTAAAGCTTTTAATGTAGTTTCTGAATATGTAATAATTTTTTCTAAAAATAATATGAGTGCGGACAGGGATCTATTTGCTTTATCGTCAATCAAGCATCGTAAACCGAATTGTCCCAAACTTAGTGAGACGTAGTGCTGGACTCGGTTCAGGCCGGGCGCGGCTCGGGCCTTGAACCGGCCGGGCCTCGGTTCACCAAAAGGAGGGCCCGGGCCCGAACCGGCAGGTGACCGGTTCCGGGCCAGACCGGGCCGGTTCACCCGCCTCATTTTTTTTTTTTTTGATTTTTTGGCTTCTCTTAATTAACCCCCTACCCCTCCCCCTCAACCCCAAACCACCCCAAACCACCTCAAATGGCCTAAAATACCTAATCCAACCCAAAAATTAAAAAAAAATTCAAAAAAAAAAAAAAAAAAAATTTATTCCGGCCCGAACCGGCCGGGCCGGTTCACCAAATAGAGGGCCCGGGCCCGGAACCGGTATCCACCGGGCCGGTTCGACCCGAACCGCCGGTGGACCGGGCCTCCGGGCCGGGCCGGTTCACACAGTAACCAGGCCGGGCCGGTTCACACAGTAACCAGGCCGGGCCGGTTCCGGTTCGAGCCGCCCGGCCCGAGTCCAGCACTAGTGAGACGGAGGTACTAATTAATAACTAATGTATGACTTCACACAACTTAAGCTAATACATAACATCATAACCTACAAGTATCTAAAGTGCTTTTACACTGTTTATACCTTTTAGTTAAGCTAGAGCCTAGAAGCCTAGAATATCTATTCACAAACACTGGTTTTAGTTTTCTTTAGATAAAATAATCACAAAAGTTCTTTACTTATAAACAGCTAACACCATAAGTCCCTTCAAGCGAATGGAAGTTTAGTGTGTACTCCGGTCTCCAGTTATGGGCAGACCCAGCTAACACCATAAATCCCTTCAAGCGGATTGTTTTTGTATTCGGGCTTTTTTTTTAAATAGACTAAAAATTATAAATGGAACAGAACGGGATTGTAACCAGAAGTCCAGAACCAATTTACCGTTACCGGCCAAGTTTCGGGTTACCCCTACCTGGAACCAGGTGGTCGCGAGATGCAAGACCCAAAACCGAATTGAACCGGCCCAGGTACACCAGTACACCACTAACTGTAGTCTTTTGCACTTTTAAAATGATAACTGGTAGGAGCATTTACATCAAAGTCAAAAAAGGAAAAAACTAAGCTGAACTTCTAAGGAGACCAATATTAAGTAGCATACATAATTCTGCACTGAACTTCCATTTACAGGAAATTGCAAAAAAGAGAAGATAATTTGCAAAAAGTTTCCCTCAGCGCCTTCCACGGTTCCACCCCCTTCACTATTTGCTAGCATGGCCTTGAGAAAGATATGAAGCTTTACTTCTGACCTGCGAAATCAAAGCATGTCTTCAAGGACTCTTGCAAATTGTGTGTGTGTGAGTGGGTATGGGAGTACAATGGTGGTCTACCTTTAAAGCATAAGACCTCAAATCTGTGCTGCTGATTTGGCAGGAACAGTTACGCAGACATGCCGCCCACATCGTTTTTAGTTCTGCATTTCCTTTTAGCTTAGGGTCACAGAAGAGCCAGTTGTCTACCAATATTAAGTATATATACATCTTCTCAAGCTCAAAATCCTCATCTTTCAGATTAATTGCATTTATAAACTTTAAGATCCCTTCTCCATCAACTACCTACACATAAGAAAGTTGCATAAACATCTAATGAAAAATCTTACATGCACCAATGTGCTTATTTTATTGAGCTTCATGGATGTGAAAAAGGCTGTATATGACAATGACAATTAGAAACACTGAATACAATACAAAGAAGTTTATAAGTTGAAAAAGAAATCAAGGGAAAATGATACCTTACTATCAAAGCATGCTACTAGAAACTCAAAGGCTACGGCACTTCTTAAACGCTTACCACGAGCATCAAACACTGAAATACTTTCCACAGTTCTCAAGCAACTAATATCTGTATTCAGTCTACATTTAAGCAAATAAAATCATAATGCATTTCAAATAAGGGGGAGGGGGGATTAAAAAAGTACAGAGAAAGCAAACCTGCAGGCAAGAGACTTGGCTATTTTGATACAGCTGATATCAAATTCACTATCATTAAAGAAGCTGATAAGTGAGTGAAGACATTCATCCAAGATTAGGGAGAGGCCAAGAAGTTGTCGATCCATAAACGTGCAGATTACCACAACTATCATATCTTCCACCTCTTCGGTTGAGAAGGTTGAACACACATTCCTATATTAAAAAAAAAACTTCTTTTAATGCAAGACATACATAAGAACTTATATGCTAAAATAGTAAAATTAGTATATTGCTATTCCCTCTGTGGACACAAACTAAGTTAGTTAAACAATTCATTTTAGGCACAGTTCGGATTATTACATTTAAAAGTTAAAATTTTCAAATGCTGGAGTAGTATTACAAATTTCAATGCAGATGATTAAGTAGGGGTGTGCTTAATTAAAAAGTAATCGCACGCTCAATATATATACTGGACAGTCTTTGTGGAACCGATGTGGTACTCTAATTAAGCCAAACAAAAATTAAATATAAACTGGAGCATACAACCATTAAAATGTAACAGTTTGGATCAATAGATATTGTTCAGATTTCAAAAAGTACAAGATATGGCAAAAGTAATAAATTTGTATCGCATACCTAACTTGGCAACTAGCAGAGACAAGCTTTATCCAAAACCTTATATTTTGTGGTGGACCAGAAGAATTGGAATCTGTGGCAAATGTACAATAACATAAACCATTCAAGGATACAATATGCACAATGTCATGTAGCCACTAACCTGAGTGGTCAAATTCCATGGAGGATGATGATGACTTGCAAGGTGAATCCAACATAAAGCCATATACATCAAGCGCATTTTTCAGTTCCAAATACTTTGGAAACCATTTGATTTCAAACTCTGTTGGGTCAATCTATTGGGAAAATGAAAGAGATGAGATAAGCCATGGGATCACTCAATCACCAAAGCACATATCTGGCAATTAAAATTTCAAACATAGCGTTATATTACATATATTAAACAACCTCACTGTTCGGTAAGAGAATGGAACACCAAAAGTTGCAGGCTGCATTTCCCAACTGGAGCTTTGGTGAATATAACACTGAAATATAAAAAAAAAAGTGATAACTGAAATATAATTTTATAAATTATCAAAATTTTCAATTGGAAGAATTAGAAGTAAAAGACTAAAAGTTTACTGACAGAGATTAAAGCTCCATTTTGCAATGTTTTCTTCAAGGAAGCCCTGAGTTTTGATCAGCTTCAAAAGCCACCCATTTAGGAGCAAGCCCTCAAGAAAATTCTGTCCTAAAACATTATATATGAACAAGTGCCATTTTCAATATATGTACTCTTAATATTTATGGGGAGGAAATAAAAGAGTCACTTAATCTAAATTAAATAAAACCACAAACTCAGACCTTCATCCATTTTGAGTTTAACAATCGAGTTGAGCTCACGATTCATGAAAGATTGCAGATAGCTGCACTGCCTTAGGTCAGGGAAATCCAGTTCCGGGAAAGTTTTCTGCAAATAATATAGAAGACACACACACAAACACATATAGTTATACTAATCAAGTGTTACATATAAATGCATGATAATTGAAAGATTCACGTTATCAGTGTCAAAATCCTGCTCATGAGTTACCTGAGAACCAAATACTTGAACACCCCACATAGGCATCTCATCATCAGCCTTTATTTGATTCATCTATAAGGCAGGGAGGGAGAAAATAAGTATAGAAGTGTATAAGAAGTTACTCCATATATGAAACATAAAAACATACTACGTATGTTTGAAGGAATGGTTTTTGCCTTTTCTTGGAATTCGTTAACACAGTGATGAAACTTAGCTTCTCTGGCACTAATGTCATCATCAGAATCAGAATCATAGACCTTTTGGACCTTTGCACGTTTCTTAACCTTCTCGTCAATGGTGACTTTCTCCTTGTAGTAGTCCTTTAACAAGTCATCCAAACCTATAACCTTTTTCCTGAAAATTATATAGGAATATCAAGATAAAAGTGATTACTATAAGGCAGGCATTCTTTTTGAAATTGAAACTTGGAAACCCAAGAGTTATTTGAGAATGAATAACGAAAAGCAGCACACAAAGTAACTTTATGCAGTTGGCTAAAAGAAAAGCATTATGCCCAGAAGATGTACTACACTAACTCCATGGGAATAATAGGAGATTTCTTTCACCAGCATATGAACTGGCTAATTTTGGTAAAACAGCTTGCAATTTTACTTATATTTTTCATATTATTTGTTTCTTTAACTAAATTCGTCATCTTTAACTTGTTCTTATCTTCTTGGCTCTCTTTTTCCAGACTACTATTATGTCAATGAAAATTTACCTTCGCTTGATGGTACACACAGTTCTTTAGTTTTAAGGATAGTTAATTTCCATCCAAAAACAGTTATTAGTATAAAAATACGACCTTTATTGCTATAAACATCAACTCTAAAATGTAAATATAACACTTGTTCATTGTCTAATATAGCCGTAGAAGGGGAGAACTTTAAAGCAAACAGGCCAGCAATAGCTAAACTAAAAACCCTAAATACGAAAATACGATTTCTGCGATAATAAACAAAAAATCAGGGGTGATTGGAGTGGGAAAAAGGAAATAATTAAAGAAAATTAAGGCTTTACGTTTTCTTCGAAATAGAAGGGGAAACAACATTATCTTCAAACTCAAAGTCCAGAGGTTCATCAACATCCATTGTCATCTGGCTGTACTTCGACGAGCAACAAGGGAGTTAGCGAAACGCGTAAGGTCTTTCCCTTAGGTGTGTCAAGGACTGGTTGTTCAGTTGTTTGCACTTTTGCGAGAAGTAGGAAATTTGGATAAGATAGCAATTAGCAAGGGAGAAAACCCGGGGAAATCTTTCGTCCCTTTTAAAACTCCTTCCGCCAATGGGATAATTGTAGCTGTCAACTTCTAGGGAAATCATGCAATTTGGTATCCAAATCTAAATAATGTAAGAGGGGTGCTTGTATTAGAAATTAGGGGTAAAATTTCAAAAGTCCATTGCAAGTAGACTTTTAAATGTCTGTAAAAGTATTCTAAAAAAAGTCTATAAAAGTATATGATTATGTTTGGCAAGCATAAGTCTTTCTTTTCTAACTTTTTGTACTATTTAAAAAGTTTCAAAAAACGGCTAGTTGTATGTTTGGTATGACAACTTTTAAGAGTTTTTCAAAAAATAAAATATCTTTTTTGAGATGCTACAAGTCTACAACGAGTAGCATCTGAAAAAAGTTTGAAGCTTTTAGTATTAGGTAGATTCTATGGTACCCATAAGGTACCATATCTTTGTTCACATGGACCAATCAAAATGATGCAATTGAATTATTGAAATATAAATTAAAAAAGATATAATGATTTGGACCAATCAAATGCATGGTAGGTACGGTACCCCATTTTTTAAATGGGTACCGGAGTTGTCACCTTAGTATTAAATAGTCCCAAAACAGCTTGTATACCAAATAGAACTAAATAAAACAGTCAGTTTTTTACCAATTAACTACCACCTTTTATTTTTTAGTTTTTTTAATTAATTAAAAGTTTATTAAAGTGTCTTTTCAGCTAGTTGTCTCAAACATATCTTATGTGTTTTCATTGTAGACTTTTAAAAGCCTATAAAGTCGTCTAGGCGTATTCAAACTTTTGTTCATTCTTATTTACTTCTAAACTTATGAATTCTTGTGGACTTTTAACTCATTCTTAGGCTATGTGTTTTCAATGTAGACTTTTAAAAGCCTATAAAGTCATCTAGGCGTATTCAAACTTTTGTTCATTCTTATTTACTTCTAAGGCCATTCCCCCATTCTTTCATGGCAGCACATAACCGTTTATTCCTATTAAGGCCATTCCCCCATTAACATATAATATCTTGAACTACTTATTTCATTAGGTTTAAACTTTTAGAATTCCAAAACTTGATGTCCGATTAACCTCTAGAGACCAATATGTAAGGTAAATACCTTTTTGTAAAATGTTTCAGGGACAATTTCTTGATACTTCAAGCTTTGATGGCAAGTTTAGGCTTTCTCATGTTCCCAGAGACAATTGCCAGTCTCCCAGCTTGGGACACGAGAGGAGTAATGGCTGCAATTTTGCTCCACGTTACGGTTTCTGAGCCCCTTTACTATTACCTGCACAAATGCTTTCATGGCAGCACATTTCCCTTTACTATTACCTGCACATAGGGTGATACATATACATATAGTTCTCCCCCCCCAAGGCATGAAATATATATCATTATATATATACTTGGAAATACCCGACCCGTAGGTCATTGTTTATTTGGGAAATAGTATAGTCAATATCCTTGACTTAAACCCCAACCAACCCATACACCTATGAGTGTATAGAACTCCTCCTGGTTCAAATCATCTTAACTTGAGGACACCGCCCGGTCCTAAATTACAAATAGTAATCTATGAGTTTTGAGGATACACGCCCGATCCTTGGGTACTCCTACCCTATATAACCGAGTTTTGAGGATAACCGCCCGATCCTTGGGTACTCCACCCTATAACCGAGTTTTGAGGATACCGCCCGATCCTTGGGTACTCCACCCTATAACCGAGTTTTGAGGATACCGCCCGATCCTTGGGTACTCCACCCTATAACCGAGTTTTGAGGATACCGCCCGATCCTTGGGTACTCCACCCGACTTATGATCTACCACATATCATCCTAGATAAGGTTTATATCATAATCAATAATCAAGACTAACAGCTAGCTATAAGTTTTGATTGGAAAACCGATAAAATTTGTAAAATGAATAGGTTGAAACTGATTAAGTAAAATTCATAGGTCATAGATTGGAAAACTATGAATTTTGAATAAGTTGAAACTCATTATGATAACTAATAAAATTCATAGGTAATAATACTATGATATGTTTAATTAATCTTAGTAGGTTTTCTACATAACTAGCAGTTTTCTACAAATCATAGTAAAATGAATAGGTTGAAACTCATTATGATTTGAATTACGATTTAATTAAATAATACTATGAATTAATAGGTTGAAACTGATTAAGTTTTGATTAATCATTGGATACGAATGATGAAAAACTATCAATTTAAAACTTGAATGATTGAAAACTATCAATAAAGAGCTTAAATTGTATCATGGCCATTTTTACTTAGGCTTCTTTAAGTTGCATTCTAGTTTTATCCATTTTTACTTAGACTACTTTAACTTTTACCATCGAATGGTAAACTTTGATTAATTATTTAAATTAGAGTGATTTGTCTAAATAAGACTAAAACAAAAATAGGACTAAAAAGAGGTAACCTGACAAAACTGCCCTTCATTAAAAAAGACGCACACCATCGATGCACAACCTATTAATCAAATACGCAGAAAAAAAACAAAAAACAAAACTGATATCCAATTACGATTAAAAAAAAACTGATATCCAATTTAAGAGTGGTGCTACTTGTACACATAAGTTTTACACATGTTTGTAGACATGCACTCCTAATTGCATATTTTATCAAATGGGACCATACAACACACAAATGATCAATGTTACAATCTAAATTAATTGCTCCAAGTACACGACTCAATGGAATGTCTGGTTTAACCAGCTAGAGAGACTGTCTTGAGATCCAAATTGCAAATCCTGCAAAGAAAACTCTGGTGGACTGTCCAGTTCCAAGTTCAAAAGATCAGAAATACTAGTTGAGTTTTTGCCATCTCCCTCTGGAATTTGATTATTGAGGTTAGCAGAATGGCCATGATTAGACTTTAAACAAGTTTTAAAATAACAAAGTTTTGATTAAAATGATTGAATCTGTTGAATTTTGAAACAAATATACTTTAAATATGCTTTATTAATAAAATAAAGAAAAAATTGTATGAAAAATACTATCATGCATCGTCCTCTATATTAATTTTAGTTAATTCAATCAGAAAAATAATTTCAACCGTAACTATTTTAATTATTTCATAATGCATCGAGAAGTCAAAAACTATGTACTTCACATATAAGACAAATAAACAAAAAATTAGGGTCAAAAAATTAGGGTTAAAACGATTTTTTATATTTGTTGATAATATACAGTTTGTGAATGATACAATAATACATATGTTCGTGTATAATACGATCTACTTTTATAAAATATGGCTAAATATATGTTATATGTTCGCAACACAAATACAAACACGTACGCGTTTTAAACGTTAAATAATCTTTAAATATGACATATAATACGTGTCATATACACTAAATCATTGATAGAAACAAATTATTAGTTAACATCTCAACCTTTTCAATTATTTAAGATGAAATTTCCTTGGTGTACACACCCTCTTACACCCTCTTACGCACTTTCTTACACACCCAAGTTTCCTTGGTGTACAGACCTGCTAACGCACTTTCTTACACACCCAAGTATAATTGTCTATGTACAGACAGTTATGATAAAGGGAAGTGTCAATAATCTCGAATAGTTTGTGTACAAACAATTCATTTCTTGGAATCACACACATTTTTTTTACTAAATCCAAACGTAATTGTCTGTGACTCTATGTTATTGTCTGAGCACAGACAATTACACCCTCCGTATCAATTTAATTGACCCACTTTCTCTTTTGGGACGTATCAAAATAAATGTCTCATTCCCTTTTTGGAAATAAATCCACTCAAAAAGCAGATACAGTACCGCTACAGTACTGCTACATTACCAAAAAACTCCAACTTTACATATGTTTGCCTTAAACTACATGAAAAAGCATACGAGTCAATTAAATAGATACGGATATAAAAATACCTTATCATATTTCAACCTGACTATCACATCACTGTTTTACAAAAACACAACGAAAATCATAATTACAGGGAGCTTGCCCATCCATCAAAGTCAAGTTGCATGCTTTAAAATTTAAAGGCACAACTTTAAATACAATTAACGAAGCATATTATTCATATGGCTTTGGATGATTACAAAAACAAAGGACTAAGGTTGTCAAAATGGAACCTTAATAAAGTACTGCTTTTTTAGATTTCTGTTTTTTACAATTATTTAGTGTTTGCTACTATCACCACTGGCAATTCTACATCCTCAGCCTGCTCTCTAAACTTCTTGTATATATCACCTTTGTAAAATTCCCGAGTCCTGACAACCAAAACCAAGGAAGAAACTGCCCCAAAGAAAGTGACACTGGCCAGAATTATGAACGGCAGACGATAACAATGCGGGCCGATGCAACTCAGCTCTTTCACATCAGCTCTACCCAACCCCTTCCTGGCCAAATCCTTCAGCGCCTCCTTGTCATACAACCGACCTGTGATCATCACGTTCAGTATGTAGGTCCCAACGGGGCTAGCCAACTGCCCGCAGTTGAACAACGTGGAATAGTATTTCAGCCCGAAGAGCTCGGAGATGATAGTGAAGAGGAGAGGGAGTTGGGACCCGAACGAGAACCCGATCACGACTGACGCGACGTATAGTGATCCGGGGACCGGGAAAGCAACGAGGAGGAGGCCGATGCATGATAGGAGGAGAACAAGAGTCATCATAAGCGGTCTCGGGAATTTGTATCGGATCAGAAGAGTCTCTGAGAAGAATCCCGCAAAGATTCTCCCAAAAAAGTTCCATATACTGACGAGGGACACAAAGGTTGTTATAGTCTTGTTTGGGTACCCGAGCGCCTGCCCGATCTGACCCATGTTGTCAACAGCCGTCAGGCTCGAACCCATCCCGCAAAATGTGGCTACAAAAAGGATCAACATGTCTGTACTCAGAAGCGCCTGCAAGATGCTATAATCTTCTCCTCTTTTTGGTTTGTGGAAGAAAATATTGGCGAGCCAAGAGACTTTAGGACCATTATTAGAGACTTTAGGGCCATTATTTCCCTCTGGTGCTGGTGTTGGTTGCAGTGGCTGCGGCGGAGGCGGAAAATGTGGTTGCAGAGTAACAACACTTTGTACCACTTTCCTCTTCCGCCAGAGGGTTAACTCATGTCTGCCAAAAAACACAAGAGGAGAAAATAGCAAAATGCAAGAAACAGCGGCGCTGACATCATAAGCTGCCCCTGAAAACAAAACCACCTTTTGGAGGATTGTCATCACCATTATAAACAACGCTAAGACGATGGATGAAAGTAGGCATAGGTAGAACATACTGAGCTCTCTCTTGTCCCTAACAACCTTAATCTCCCGAATCGTGTACACGAACACCACTGACAATGCAGCCGGAAGCCAGGCAATAAGTAGGATGAGAGACTTGGAGTCACTCCCGTAAACAGCAAGGTAGAGCTGAGTCATGATGGCCCCACTTAGCCCGGTGAAACCTTTCAGGAGACCTATCATAGCCCCACGAGACTCAGGAAAGTTCCTTACAGAAGTCACCAGAGCCCCAGTGTTGGCGAAGTTCTGAGAATTAGCACCTATGCAAATGTACAAACACATCTGCCAGACAGTCGGCTTTGGAATCTTCCCTGTTACAGCCAACCATATAACAAAGTAGCCGGCAAAGTTCATGGCAGAACCGACTAATAAAACAAACCATGTCGGGGAAACCTCGGCAAGAAGGCCGGAGAGCACTCCAACGTTGGCCCCAACGTCCTTGAAAAAGCCCAGGAGGTTGAGGGTGGTTTGGTCATACCCCAATGAGGCCTTTATCTCCTGGGAATAGACACCAAACAAATATGTAGCTCCCGCCCCAGCCATAATCAGGAAGGAGGCAAAAAGTGAGAACCATCTCCCTCTGAAGAAATGGAGGGCGAAACTGAAACTGCTTCTGCTATTATCATCTGTTGACGCTTCTTGTCCCATCACTTGTTTCTATGGAATTAGTAACAAAATCAAGAATTAGGAAATACTATATATCGTGCAAATTTGTTGGTAAGGCTATAATTCTATGTGGGTAGTTAGGACATTGCAAAGAAGAAAGAGCAGGCCATCAGGTAGATATAGAGAAGAAGAATTGATGCTATCCAGGAAAAGGGGATCCAATTGTTTAAGACCCTTTAGAAACGTTTTTTGGATTATGCCAAATGGACCAAAGTTTATTTTACCAAATTGACAAACTACAAGTAGGGGATCAGAAATTACTGGCATTTAAACTTAAACAAATCATATACTGTGATATTTTAACACATGCCACTACCAGTGTCAAACTCACATTGGTTTATTACATGGACCAGCATGAATTTCACGTGGGTGTACGACCTTCGTTCTATAACAACCATTGTGGTTTTGACACACACCCAATGTGACCTCATAAGCCATGCTTCAGTCCTCACAAAGCATTATACAACAACTCCTTTATTGTGGGATGTGGGGAACAAAAGTAGGTGAGCTTTATACCAAAAAAGACATGATACTTATACCATGTATGTAAAATAGATGAGGTAACTTTGTTGCAGATTAAGAAATGCTATAATTGACAATAGATATCTTCGTTTCAACCCAATCCAAAAAAAATCCCTAGCATTTCATAACATGTGCTGAAATGTAAGCTTCTAGCAGTTCTAAAAAGTAGTCAAGTCAGTGATTCCTCAATTATGCATTTTAGTTATGCGGGAGACCTATGCTCATAAAAAATCACGAAGCCAGTAAACATAGAGATGAAATATAGCATAAGTAACTTTATAAATGCATATTCCAATTGCAAGTGGAGATAACTATAAGTGGAACTTGAAAAAAGATGCTAACAAATCAGCTCAATACTCAATAGCTCATGACCATATGTCCACATTCAACAGCCTAACATAGACTTGTGGATCCTACTAAACTTGGTGATAATCATATGTCAATAGGAAAAAACACTTTTGATAAGGCAAGCTGACAAAACAAGAAGCCAACCATACGAAAGTATTCCCCTGTGATATTCCAGCAACCACACAGTTGTGTATTCTACTTTAAGTTGCTGGGACCATCGTTTCAATTCAAGCAAAACAGTCCAAGTATTTTCATTGATGAAATTAATTGACAAATACTGTATTACTAGTACATTAAAGTAGGGGGAAATCTTGCAAATTGTCAATTTATTGAGAAGTATGAGTTAGTAGTTAATGTCATTTTACCAAGTTTATAGGACATTGTATTTGCATTTCTTGCCTACTTCATAGTCTCATACCTTGAAAATATGATGATTGAGAAACGGTTTAGTCTTAAACCATATCTGATTCAAACAGCATAGATAAAACTTAGATAATACTCATTCCGTCCCTCAAAATTCTTCACACTTTCCTTTTCGGTAAGTCCCAAAAAATTCTTCACATTTCCCTTTTTTTGAAGTTTTGTGTGGCTACCCTTCATTTACTTTTTTCATACTCAACCAGAATCATGCATTTCCACTTTATTCCCACTTTCTTAAATCTGATCCAAACTAACACTGGAAAAATTTTCAAGGACAGAGGGAGTAATAAAGTGCAAATAGTACTGGACCATACTTATACACAAAAGACTGATCAAGACTAGATTAGACCAAACCAATTTCAAACTCTAACTGTAATACTCCTTAATATATTCCAAACTAAAATTTATGACAAGACTGGTGTCATTCAGCTTAATCATAATGCACATTGGTTAAGCCGACTAATATACGATTAAATCTAATTGATAAGATAGTTCAACCAAGACCACATAGACCAATATTTCTTCAAAAGTTTGTTTTGGTTAGGATCAAAGGGAATAAAACTATATCATGCGTAGACAGTTTGTCCACTACCCAAACGTCGTTTTCCCCCGTATGGAGCTTACGATTCCCACTTTTCAAAACTGTCCAATTCAAAAACATGGTAAAAAGTAGTGATAGGTCAAAATAATGAGAAAACAATCGTAGTGGTGAGTAAATCGCTACAAAACAAGAAAATTTACCGTGCTGTCCACTTACTTTTGGGAGGGGTAGAGATTTTTTGAGGTGATGAACGAAGAACAGAGCGTGCTGGTAAAAATTAACCAATCCCACAGTTGAAATCCATGGAACTAGGACGGGCTGCTGCTGGTCCATTTTCTAGTCTTCTGCGCTCGGTTTTTCGCACCATTTTCGTCAGGATATACGACCACGTTCTACAGTGGGTAAGCGTCAGGATTTTTGGATAAAAATGCATTATCAAATGAGATACGGATAAACACGGCTAGCGGTTGTGATTCCGTGATTGCTCGAGAACATTGGATTGGGGGAAGGTCACATTTGACCACATAAAAATTAGATTATACGAACATTATATTTTAAGGGTCCGTTTGTTAAAGGAATCTCATTTTACCTCAGAGTAGATTAGTGGTTAGACTGGTTACTTGTTATCTTAGATGGATGAGAATATATTAAGACTAAGGGAATGTGACATTTATCAATTTGGTTGAGTTTGGTCTTAGATTGCATATTTGGTAAATTAATTCAATTCCCTTCAAATATGTTATCTTAACACATTAAACTAAACGTAGGAAAAAATAGTAAATCAGCCCCCGAACTAACTTAAAAGTGCAAATCACCCATTTTATAGGAGGTTATGTCTAGACGTCGCCATTTGGAGCGGTTTCCAGTAAAATGTTTTTATGAAATTTTTTGAGCATCTTCTTCATTAAGCCTAGTTTACTTATACCAATTTTCAGCTAAATATTCAACCGAGAAGACAGTAAAATGATTTTCTGAAATATACTACGTTGTTTAACTGCGCAGTTATCTTCAAAAATTCATTTCACTGTCTTTCCGATTTAATTTTTAGCTGAAATTTGGTATGGGTAAACTAGACTTAATGAAGAAGATTCTAAAAAAAATTCATCAAAAAAATTCACCGGGAACCGCCCCAAATGGCGACGGCCGGACAGAGTTTCCTATAAAGGAGTGATTTGCACTTTTTAAGTTAGTTCGAGGGCTGATTTGCTACTCTTCCTTAAACTTATTACAACCTACCATTAAAGTAATTAAAATTAAAGAAAAGTGACATATATCATAATTGTCCTAATAATAATTAAAATCAAAATTAATTGAATTATTTTTAAACAAAGTAGGTATAATTGCACAAATGACAAAGATCAGTGAACATTAGTAAATAATTTAGTTTGAGTAAATGCATAATGAGACACATTAATAATGAAAGGTAAATATATTGTTACTTACTACGTACTACGTATTAAATAGCCGTATTTAGTACAAGGAAGTGCAAATAGAACTTCCGACGGAGACGGGTTTCCTTGAGCAACTAAAGACGGGTTTCCTTGAGCAACTAAAGACGGTTTTAGGCTAACAGAATTATATTTTGCATATTAAAGGTAATCATGTTATTAATGAGCTAAAGTACCTTATTTATTTTCAAATACATTATTTTACGCAAGCACCCAAGTTCACTTAGGTTATCCTTAATTTCATTAAAACTTAAGTATTTTATTGCACTATATTTACTTGAGTTCACTTTACCCAAACAAAGCATAAAGCGCACTCATTCAAAGCCCCCGCTCCTAGTGGCGGACAGTCAAGAAAAAATTGGGTGTTCAAATTGTTTAAAATTACAATTTTAAAAAATGATGTGGTTTAATCCAATATTTGGTTCAATAGCAAAAAAATGCTAAATATTATTAAAAGTAAGAAATAGCATATGAAAACACAACTTACAAATCATTTCACCAATTATATACATGTATTTTAGAATTTTATGATAAAAAATTTCGGGTGTCCATGTCATCATGTGAACACCCTTGAATAGAATGGGCCTTGCCACAACGTACTCGCTCCCCAATTTTTTTACGCTAAATGCCTATAAGAGCATCTCCAATGGTTCCTCCCAAGGACTTGCTTGCAATTTTTTAAAATTTTTAAGCTAGTAGCCTACCATTGGAGTGCATAATACCTTCTAGCTTGGACAAGCAAATTAGCCAAAACAAGCTACATGCTAGAAAGGAGAGAAAATTGAACTAAAATGGTAACTCCCAAATATATTTAATTTATCTATAATTAATATACTAATCTAAATAAAACAGCAACGATAATGTTCAAAGTGGTTTCAATTTATTACCGTTAATTATAGATGTGCAATGATAATGTTTTTGAGCACATTTTTTATTCCTTATTTTATTTTGTTACTTAACAAAATACATATTTTTCTACTAATTTTAATAATCTGGATTCACCCTTGTCGGCTTAATGTTTGGTCAAAGTCATAGTTGACGACCAACTTGATCAATCTGTCAGAAGTTTGGTTATGTTTGCTTGTCAACTTGATTGATTGAAAGTATTTCAAAATAAATACTCCGTATTATTTTTATTATATTAACAATATAATTCATTCAAAATGTATATTTCAAAATTGATTGATTTGTGGGGCCTATTCAAGAGGCAAGCATTGTAGCTAACCATTGGACTACCACATTGATGGAAAATGGATTAGTTAAAAAAAATTGATGTGGCAAGCAAAACTACAACGTGATTAGCTAACCGCTGGAGATGCTCTAACTACCTCAGTTGAACCTTTTACTACCCCATTGATTTTTCTTTGGCTCTCTCTCTACGACTCTACCAAATCAACTTGCTACACCTTTCGCAAATGACATTGCACTTGTTACTCCTGATTTACCTTTTACACCTAATTTACCTGGAACACAAATAAAAGAAGGCAACAAGAGAGATGAAATAAGCAATACACAGAAAAGCACTTTAGTATAAATGCTTTTAGCCCATTTTTGTAACGCGAAATTTCGAAAAGGCATTGTGGGATAAACAACTATAAAGTTCAACTGTTATAGGCATACATGAAACAAATTGAGGTCCAATTATAAACGATAAATGAATGGTGTGATGTCCATTAATATTTTTAACTTTTACTTAGAAAAGTTAAAAAACCATTCAAAATCTACACTACATCACATGAAAAAATATTAGAACTAAGATTTTGCCCTGGCCATGTCAAAGTATTTTGTACACATACTTTCCATTGTGTACACACTATAATTCAAGTATTATATCAGTCTTTTTTGTGACCAGAAGCGAGTGTTGGGGCTTGCTCCCATGCCCTCCCAGGTCATCCACTGTCAATATACCTACTTTGAACAAGTATTCAATTAATTAATCATTTAATTTGGATTGGTTCATGTCTAAGATTTGATTGGATCAAACTACACGAATTGGATCAAACTTGACGAGGTGTATGTTGGGTTTGGGCTCACTTCCTATCTGGAGACCCAAATAAAGCCCAATATTATAAGCCCATGTTTCGATGAAATAAGTAGTTTACAGCAGCCAAGTCTCTAGAAGAAAATTGGAGCGTGTATGTGAGGCTAGGACCATTCTTGGTGTACACAAGATAGTACACAAAATGTGTACATTGTCTGTGTACACAGACAATTTGACATCAAGTCATGTCCCTTTTTAAACGAATTGCCTGTGTAAACAGACAAATAGGGGGGTTTTGTGTACAATTTGTGTACAACTTGTGTACACTAAGAATTTTCCGAGGCAGAAAATCGTGAGAGGAAGGAGGACCGTTCACTTTCGGATTTTAGCGTGCAATGTATATCAAGATGGTATTCGAAGAGTCTAACGATGTCCGATTAGTCTGAAATTTTGTAGACAAGTTCGGGAGTCATTGAACTTGATTTCTACCGGTCACCATTGGATTTCTGAAATTTGATTGCTGCATAGTTCTCTAGTTGATTATTGCTTCTTTGTTGTGGTTGTTGGAGATCGATAAGCTTTTTGTAGTCTTATTGCAGTTATTTGAGCCCTTGTTTGAGACTCTCTTGTAACCTGATTTTAATCATGGTGGAGCTTGCTTGATGGTCTTGTGACCCGTGATTTTTACGGTCTATTTGGATGTAGTGTTGAAAGATGTTAGTAATGAAAGTGTCATTGTGTATTGACATCGAGTCGAAAAGGCCCGAAAAGGAAGGGAAGTGTAAATGTAAGATGCAAACTAACCTTGTTTGGAAGAGTTATAAAAATGAAATGTTGATAAAGGGAGTGTTTTTGTATTAATTGACAAATATGTCCTTGTCTTTTTATATCGTCTTCATCTATTTACACAGCGAAGCTTTCCCATTGCTCTCCTTCTAATCGGCGGCTGGAGCACATATACACAATGAAGCTTTTCATGAACAGTCTCAATTAGGACAACCCGCTAGCCTTCTCGTACTACCTAATTTGAGAGACGCACGTCATATGCTAGAAGTTCATTTTAGTCATGAGAATTTCTCGTTGGAAGTGATGTTTTCAGAATCCATATATACCTCATATTATATTTAGTTACAAGAAGAAGGCTAGATTACATTTGATTTGGAGATAAAGAAAAAGAATCTGGCAAAGAGCCTGTTTGGATAATGGCGGTTCAGCCATATTTTAGCGGGTTTGACCATTTTCAGCGGTTTTACCTTAATCAAACCTCTAACTTAGGTGTTTGGTTAATGGCGAATTGAATTGACTTTTTTATCAAAACCGCCGAATCTGAAATCGCTGCATAGAGCAACGTTTGAAAGTGGCGTTTTCAATTTTATTAATCGAAAGTCTCATTTATCCTCTTTGTAAATAACTAGCCGGCAAGAAAACACCATTAATAGAGGTTCAAAATTGAAAACACTGTATAAACTATCACCAATCTAACAAGGTCGATGCGGAATTAAAAGAGGAAGTACTTTAGGCTAATGAAATTAAAATGAAATATGAGAGAAAAAGGAATAATAAGGAGGATCTGCAACTAAATTAATGGGTTTTAGTTTATAAAGTTTAGGAGGAGAAGAAGGATCTGCTACACAAAGGAGAAGAAGGATCGGCCACCAGTGTGATAATTATTTCGTTTATGGAGTTTGTGGAGTTTCTAGATGTTTTATTTGTTACTAAACATGTCTAATGTAATTTATATGGTCATAAATACTTTTATATTTAATTTACTCATTTTCTAATTCATTAACATATTAATACCATGGACTTGTGTATTATTTTAGTTATGAGAATGGTATGAACGAGTAAAAAGATGGATTTTACAAAGTAAAATTTACGGATGCCCCTATATGTCTTTTTATCTACTAATCGCCGTTGTTGAACAACTAAATTACCAAACATGTTTTTGAAACCCACCAACTCAATCCGCCGGTCAAACTCGCTAACCGAATCCGCTATCTACAATCCGCTAATACAATCTGCTAACCGCTGATTGCCAAACAGGCCCAAAGAAGACCACAGTGGCCGGTAGGGAAACCCAGAAAAGGAAAATGGGAACAATAGTGTGAAGGGGCAAGGCATGTCCAGCACTTCAAAAATTGGGGTGTGAAAAAAATCACATAATGGAGTGTTAGAAAGGTTTTATGTAACACTTTTAAACACTTATTAACACTCCAATTTTTTAAAGATTTTTCTCCCAATCAA